AAAGATTGCAAAGACGGTTCGCGTGTAAAGATTCGTACAGTGTGATGTGTCGAAATCACAGTGGACTATTCTAGCAGTGGGATATTTTGTTAAATAACGTTTGCGTAAAGTGAAGCAGATTATTGGCCAACTGATAATTTGTCTGTCTCGTTTTACGATTATAATCTGTAATATTGCGTAAAAATACGTAAATTGGTTTGGACGAAAGAATAGGCTGTGTAAATTAGAGACATATGGTTCTATGATTACAGCCAATTGTCTATAATTATAGATTCGATTATCGATTATATTACTTAACTGACAATTGTGAGAAATTGGAATATAATAACAGAAATGTTATATATTATAGATACGATTAAAAAATGATTATAAAAGATATGTCGAGATCTCATCATTTCAATAGGCGAAATAATGTACATTTTTTTAAATGTTTATAATTATCACATGTATTTTACAGAACAGTTGTTAAGCGTTTGTATTCGAAATGCTTAACATAATATATACTTGCGAGATGAAAGTCAGCCTTTTTCTTCCGCATTATTCTGTTATCGTGATTTTAAAAATGCACAGTCTGGACAATAATTTAATTGGACAAATAGTATAGATGTAATTAGTTTGATATAATCGACGATTATTCTGTGATAAACCAATGCGTCGTATGTAATTAATTTCATTAAAATGAATAATGAATTTTCACTTAAGATAGCTGCTGATACGGATTTCTTTCCGACACACGTTTTACACTTTATTCTACTCTTCGAAGAACGTTCACAAGATTTCCAGCTAATAATAGATTGCATAATTTCCTCTCGCCCGAGAAATTAATTACATCTGTTCAACTGTTCCCACAAAATAATGAATTTTTGCTCGTGTCTTCACGCTATATTCGTTCTGTTATTCTCAGAGGAAGGTTTCTGGAGAAAGTGAAAGATCTTGTGGCATCCTTCACCTTCACCCATTGTCCTGTATATTTGCCTCGATCTTACTTTGTGTCCTCGAGAATAAGCAAAGATTGCGAGAAGATTTGATATATTTTCTTATCATATAGATCAATGGACAGACAGATAATGCGATTTCTTAATGCATTAATTAAAAATTCAAAAGACAGAGAGAAAGGGAAAGAGAGAAAAGAACTTGAGAAACATTATGTATGAACGGAAATAATTTCAAAAACTTAAAAAGAATGGATATACACAATTCTTTTGAATCGTATACACGAGTATATTTTGAAATAATTTTTAAGCATAAATATTCTATTTGCTATTACGTGATGTTGGGATAAATTTTAACAAATGCATTTCCCACACACGTACACGTAGTATGAATCACATTTAGAAGAATAATTTTGCATGTATTTATTCTCGATATGCTCTGAATATTCTCAACAAGAAAAAGAAATATGGAAGGAGAAGGGTATCGCAGCAATTGGAGCACTATTTCAACGAATGAAGGAACAATGAGGAAAAATTGCTTTTGCATTCCTGCTATCAAGTAATATTTGATTTATGACTTAGAAAGAATCTCTCTATGCGTGTTAAAAATGTTACAAAATGGCGATAAGTATATATGTATACATTTGTATTTGCGCTTATAATACACGTGTATGTGATTATATCAATAATTTTGTTATTTCAAAAAAACATTAAAATTGAGCAAATTGCACTATGCAGTGATATCGCCATGAAAGATTAAACATGTCTAAATTTAAAAAATCATAATTATTCTTATGTAAATCACAGAATAGAACGTGTATTTATGTGCTTTACTCATTTTTTAATCATAAAATATAATATTATACATGAGAAACTTTTCGTTATATGTGTTATTTTAGACATATTTTTAAAATGCACTTTAATTAATAATGAAAATATTTTTATCACGTAAGTGTATTTTATACACTTTCCTAATTATATAAAAATAATAAAGATGAGAGAAAGAGAGAGAGAGAAATATAATATGCAAATTTTAACACAAATGAGTCATGTTGTATGAGAATAATTATTACAAGCAAAATGCGTTATTGCAAATATCGATTGTATATCTAATTAGATGTATCTAATGTATGTAATGTATCAAAGATATTTCTCTTCTTCGACAAAAGTAAATGTTTTCCTGTTGTTTTCGCATTAGAAAGTTCTTGTTTATATACAGTGTATGTACATCGCCCGAGTGTCTCGAAAGAGGAGACAAACCGGAAGCTATTTCAACTGAATATCCGTCATACGTACATATTTCTTCTTATATGCGCACGAAATACTCTTTGCACCATACATGGAAACTTGAACGTTTTCTCAATGGTTTGAGTGAAAGGTTCTGCGATCGTTCCACACCGTTTGGATCCACTTCCGATATACCTTCTCAATTAACGACAATTACCTTTCGAGAGAGAATGCTCTCCTTTATCGATTTAATAAGAAGAAATTATTTATATAAAATTGTTTTCTCTTTTGCGGATATAAAAATTATTAAGATTACGATAGAAAGAAAAATATATACTTTTTATTTATATTAAAAATTTTGGAAATATTAAGATGCACTCTTCTTTTGTATACAATATAATTTTTTATATATTTATCAGAAATCATTTGACGATTACCGTATCTAAGGATTAATATTTTCTTAAAGTAAATCATTAAAAATTGTTTGCATTAGAGTTTTATATTGAAACAGAATCCTATAAATAATTTCGTGTATAATGTTTTCTAATTCATTCGAATGGAAATCGATTTCAGGGAGAGAAACTTAATAATCAGAATGAGAAGCCATTGAGAACAAGATATGCAAAATGGAATACATTAAACTAGAGACGTAGAAGATGCAATAGAAACGAGAGAAGAAATGAGAGAGAAACCAGATAGAGGGTCAAAAGTCATTCTGTTAGTGGGTAAGCACTCGTTCGTTCCTACTTTCGATGCATGCAATCTTTGTTTTCCTATCACGCTATTTGAATTTCTATAGTAATCATTAAACAGTTTGATTTAAAAGAAGATAAAAGAATAGCTGAATTAATATAAATATAAATAATTAAAATATATATATATATATATATATATTTATATATATATTTTTTAAAGCTTGCCGTAAAAGCACGATTAAATATAGTGATATAAGAAATTCGATGATAATTTTTCAATCATCAATTATCGAAAAATTTTCGCACACAAATAATGAGTTTCTTATAAGAGTCACTATAATATTTATTATATATTATTGCAACATTAAATTTATTTAGTTAGGAAGATTTTATGTTAACTGTAATGCAATATTCGAATACAAACAGGAGAATATGAAATGTGAAATGTGAATATGAATATTTACGACTCATTCGTTCTTATGACAGAAGACGAATAAAAAATATAATTAATGCAACGTGGGATTCTTTTTTTTTGTGTATGATTACTGTCTCGGCAGTGAAACTTCATCGAGATTATCGAGAAAGATAGTCCGAGAATTACCGCGAAGCAACAGGCACATTGGCAACGATCTGGTTACGTCACAGGCGAGGCAATTTCATTAAATCTGCATACATTCTAGTAATCTATGTGCCCGCGGCAAAATAGATATTAAAGCGAATCTGTAGAGAAATTTCGAAATTCAATCAAACATTAAAGACACTCATTACGGAAACGCATGTGAGAATGATGATTGATGGATCTTTGATGTCATCGAATACAAAGTCTGAATTGATCTGATCGAAACAAGATATAGTTATTATTTGATTTTTTTCTTCCAATCCCATAAATAGACATATGTATTAGTAATAAGTCCTATAACTATTAATATAACTCGTGGAAATAATTCCATTTCTATAAAAACGCATTAATTTTTTGTATTATTTCTCTTTTACTTTTTTTATATTTATTTATATCTACACACTGCATTTAATTTATATCTACTATATTGCTCGTAATAATTTAGAGATTATCATATAACATGTATCCTCAAATGTTATTTTCTTATTAACAATAGATTTTTGATACAAATTTTTAATGCAAATTTTATGTGTGGACACAAAAATTTCACGGCTATAAAATGTAAAAAAATAACGTAATTTTCTAATAAAGCTAGGTTTTCGCCATATATACTTCAATTTTCGTTCTTATTTGTACGATTTAATCACTATAATATGGCAATTTTGAAATAAGTATCGTGAAACATAAATATCGATTTTATTATCGAACAAATTGGAGTTGTAATCCGCGAATTAATGTTCTGTAAAGCTGCGAATAACTTCCATCTTGAGAGGGTTATCCTATCTCCTTATGATCGAAACAAGTGTGAAAAATATCGTATATTTATAGACTATTAATATTTATAGACATTTGATGTCTTTTTTTAGATATAAAAGAACTGCATTTTTTCTTGATAAAAATCAATGCGAAAATCTGCGATATTATATATTAATATTAATATTAATCTGTTTATTAAAATTATAGTATAAAATCGAATCACAATTAAATGTGCAAAAGATTAAATGAACATCACCGTCATTTTTATCCAATTACTTCCGTTATGCAAATTTTTCGTCGGTTATTTCAAGAAAGTTTTTTGATACAAGGGAAAGTTACGTGATAGAGTTCATTAAAGAAAATGAAAGTAATTCTCTCGAAAATCGTCATTCATCATCACTCGATAGTTTTCTTTAATTTTTCCAATTTAAGTTAGAAAACGTGCGAACATATGAAATATTGTAAAATATATACAATATAATCAAAAATTTAATTAAATTCTTTCTATATAATATATCAGATGTATTAGATAATGTTACAAATGCATTTCCTAATTTTAATTTTCATTTAATATAGTTTTCTAATTTCTCCAATTTAAGTTAGAAAACGTGCAAATATATGAAATATTGTAAAATGTAATCAAAAATTTAATTGAATTCTTTCTATATAATTAAATGCATTAGATAATGTTACAAATGCGTTTTCCTAATTTAAATTTCCATTTAATAATAAAATATATAGAATAGATATAAATTTCAGAGTATTACTCACTTGTTGAAAGTGCGACAAATCGGGATTTAAAATTGCAGGATCGACTTCAGCCGCTATAAAGATGTCCACCCGCAGTATCAACGTGGTCCATAGAAAACACAAGTATCTTCGTTTCATCGCGGAAAATAATTTCCTTTCTAGCTTTCAATCCCGATGTTCACACCACGACAAAGCACCCGTTGTATTCTTCTTTGAGTTTCACCAATTTTGGTACATCAGAATTTCCTGTATTAATTTACGGATACTTTCAGTAGCTTGTCTCTGTTGTTTACAATCCTCGTAAATGAAAATGAGATTACTTTCTTTTAACTATCTCGCTGAGATCCGATGTGAAGAAGACACGTTGCCCTTATTGTCTTAACGTGTTTGTTTCAACTTCTTTGATCTAATCAGTATCGTGTTTTCATCTAATGGCGCGGAAGAAATTCTCGCCTCTGCTCGTCTTTCAAGAGACTAGCATTGAATTCAGCACGGAACGTCTTCCTTCCTTTCTTCTTTCCTTCCTGTTTGAAAACAGGCGAGAGATCAGGAAGAGGCTGAGCCGCCAGTTGGATTTAACGAGTTTATACGTCGACGAGAACGAGTTCGGGACTGTTGAAGATCAGAAAACGTCCGAGAGTTTTACTTCTTCGATGTGGGAAGAGTTCTCGCGGTCCGTCAGGTGGGAGACAGCCACCAGGTAGAACGGTGAATGTTACGAATAAGGAACCCACTTCTTCTCTTGGTATTTTCCTCCGGTAAAATATGCTCTATAATATCGATTAAACAAGATAAAAATAAAGAGATCTTTCTCGCACATTCAATAACATATAAATCGAAGATTCTTTAAATTGAATGATAAAGTCAGTTTGATCATAAAATTATTTTATCAAAAAGCTAAAGTTATAGTTCACTAAAATTACATTTATATAATATATATAAGTAATATATAAAATAAATATACATTACTAATATATATAATAAAATCATAATCTTTATATTTATACACATGCAAATTATGTATCATAATTTGTAGCTTTTCAATAACTGTTTGATTAATTTTTTACCAGTTCGCACAATAAAAATATTGTCCTATTTTTGCATTTTAATTAAACTATTAGAAATTGTGCATTGCAATAAATATACTGCGTTTCACGCGCATGTCTTGCCATTACATAAGAAATTCGCGGATAAAATTATGGATAGATTAAGAAAGTGACACGTTTCAGTTTAATAAAGCGCAATAAACTTTCGGAAGATGAAAAAATATTTGCAAGAAGCAGTTGTTTAACTGCGACGACGATCGAAGCGGTAAAAAGAAACTCCTTTCGTATTCCGTTTCTTCATTACTAAGTAAAAGATCGAGAGAAAAACACTGTATAGGAAACATTTACTTGGGGAGGGGTCCGTACGATATTATTCAACATCGATCGAGATCGAACGGAAAACTTAAACGGACATTGGCCCATTATACAATTCCATCCAAAATAGTGTTCCGGAGAGCAAGCAATTGCGCGACGTGCTGTTTTAGAGCTACTTTTTTTCGTGCATCGCTTCCTGCGCATAATATAACGCAATTTTATTCGCAGCTCAGCAACGTTCTTGCAGAAATGTACCGCTTATTAATCTTTAAACGTTCGCTTTTACATTATGTAAATTTTAATAAAACTATTACGTCAGTTAACTTACAAATTGTGTTTAATACTTTAATGATTTTATCCATATGGATATTCTCCGTTATCTGTATGCTTAATAATTTTTTTAAATTCTTTTCTTTCTTTTGTCGATATATCATAAGAACGTGATAAAATAATATAAAATGAATACCGAGATGTCTCTTATTGGATCTTATATCATCATGAATATAGAGAGTTAACGTGAGTCTTACGAAAGCCCTATCATTACAAGTTAAAAAAATAGATCTTGGAATTTTAGTTAGAACGCGGAGCGTGTGAAGCAACCGAAGCGTGTTCGAGAGCAACGGGAAGAAGCCAGTTCGTGCAACGAAATGATGATTAATAATTTACGCAATGCAGCGATATTATTAAGGAATCAAGATCATGCGATACGTACTCGTTTGATCGGTGCCCATCGTAAAACGTTAACTTTCTGATTAAGCAGCTAAATTCTTCTCGGAATCGCTCCGGGCGACGAAAACGCGCCCGTTTACAACAAATCTTCCTTTCTCCACTCTCGATTGTATGACGGCGAGTTTCGTTTTGAATCGATTACCCACTTCGAAGAAGGATTCATGGGAAAGCTCGTCTCTGCGTTTAATAAAAGTATCTTCACACGTCTGATTGACTAATCTTGGTGACAAATTCCGTGAGTGCGCGCGCATCAACTTTCTCCCTGAAAACTTTGATAAAAGCCATCACATATCTTTTAACAATTTTAAAATTAATTTAAATAAACAATTTGTAATTATATTCCTGAAAAAAAGAAAATAATTAAAATCCATTGACATTTGCATGGATGAAACTTTGATATATAATCGTACACTATAGAAAGTTTGATATAGCTTATAAAAAACTCTTATTTTTTAATTATAATTGAATTAATATTTCAGCAAAGAAAAAACTTTTTATTTGAATACCTTAAAAAAACAACAATTTTTATTCGATAAACAAACATTTTAGTCTCAAAGTTTTATTTTTGATAGTAATAATGCTAATAATATCGTAGTAAGTAATAATACAGCGACTAACATAAAGTTTTAAGATAAAAAATGCACGTATATATATTCTCATATACTTACTCCTATATAATAGATATATAGTCATTCGTTTTGCAAAACTGTTTATTGTAGAAAAATATCCAACGTGCTAATTTAATATCATTTGCATTCTAAATATTATATGCGAAGTAAACGCATGCAGTTTTCCAAGTACATTACGAAATCTGGAAAACATAAATGATTAAACGAGATCAAGAATTTTCACATGATGGATAATTATTTATAATTTCAAGCTTGTGTATGTGTATGTTTGTTGCTCAATCTAACGCTGTATTTTATGAAGCTATTAAGATGTCGATATATGTGTATATAACGCTATATATGATATATTTTTTTTCTATATTATGATTTACTATTACAATTAATAGCTTGGTCTTGATATTTCAATAATTTTAAAATGTTTGGATTTTTATACATGTACCTTCATATACGCAAAATGATTTTGTCGATATCTTATTCATATTGATGTATATTTATTTGACTTGTCTCTTAATTCTCTAGAATTTCTTAGTTATTATATATGAGATAGAAAAATTCGCTATAAAGAAAAAAAAAGCATACAAAAGTATTTTTAAAAATAAGTAAATAAAATAATTATATATAAAAAAACAGTCGCACATAATTTAATTAATTTAATATTACGATATTATGACGCTTTTCGATCGAAGAATACCAATTAAGACATTAGGAGAGCCGCATTACGTAAGGTAGCATAATGTTGTCGTAAACTTATCGCGAATAAGACATCTGCCATGTCGCTACACGAAAAGTATTGTGTGGATATACGACTATATCATGTTTGGGAAAGAGGCTTTCCTGTCCGTGTACATGTGAGAATCCTCGTTAAAAAACGTTTCACTCGAATGAAAGGGAGCGGAAGCGATCTTAATGAGGCGAGAATTATGCGATTCCTTATACATATCGAGAGGTTTTCTCAAGTTTTCAGTAGTATATAAAAATTTAAAAAAAATATCGCACATAAATAACAATCGACCAATAAATATAAGGTGAAAGAAGGTGCTAGTTTAACGTGATCGTTAATGAGCGTTAATGAGATATAATCTACGTGATGCAATATATTAAATAACAATAATTCTATTGTAAAGAAAATGCTCGAACATTTTTTTTGTGCGTCTCATTCTTCGAGTTTGCGACTATCACCTTTGCAGACACTTTTCTGGTAGCCAAGGTAATTGCTCGGATAATTTGCCGCCAACGCGTTCGCCGACATCGTGGCCGCATTGCACCGCAATAATATCGCGTTGTAATATGGCAGTGCACTATACTTTCCAACTATCTAATTAGGTCACCAAATATGGTGACACACACACAAAGAAGAACGAATATTGAGAAGAGAAGAAAAGATGCAAGAGCAAGCTAATAATATTCTTTATTATTTGTAGAAAAAAAGTTTAATTTTTTTCCATCTTCATTTAGCGATCAATACCCTTTTCTATCAATGTGATGTAAATTTAATTATTGATTGTAACTTGTAGAACGCAACTAATATTAAAATATCAAATTTTATATTCTGTTATATATATGATATAATTATGTCGTTAGAAAACGTGAATTTTAATCATTTCTCATAAGTTGATGAGTGACTAAAAATAAGTTTAAATCATATTAATAAAAATGGACATGAGTAACGCGCGTGTACTTGTGTTATATTTTGCAAATAAAAGATTGAACATGTTCACAATTGAGATTCTATGCTGTATAATTTTTATTATTTTTATTTTTATTATTTCTGATCATTATTGTTAGTATAAATATATAAAATTTCATATTTTTTAATTAACAAAATATGATCTTAGAAAGAGATAAAAAAATCAAATGATATTTAATTTCCTTATATATCAAGATTTAAATATATAAAATAATAGTCAATAGAGCCTGGCCATCTTTTTTTGCTTTCCTCAATAAGTGAGACAATAAAATTATTATCAGTCTCAATATGGTAAAATAACTTTTTTTTTTTGAGAAACGAAAATTTTTAAAATCACATCAGTATTTAAACCCACCCAACCAAAATATTGCAGCTACATTGCCGCAACATTGCTGCAATGTTGTAATATTGCCACAATATTGCTTTGTTGGAAATAAATAAAATACATACACAGATTTCATAACTTGATTAACATATCGATATCAAGAAAGGATTATTGTATGTAATTGCAGGAAAATTTGATTTTGCTCTTCTTAAAATAGTTTCGAATAGAATAGTTTAATTTAAAACAAAATAATGCTCTGTTAAATCAAACATAAAATTCAGTGAGATTATATATTTATATATATATGTTTTATATATATATATTTATGAGATTATATATTTATATATATATGTTTTATATATATATTATATATTTATATATATATATATATATATATATATATATATATGTTTATATATGTATTCAAAACAAAGTTTACGCATACCGGTTTCTCCATCCTAAAAGCGGCCATTCTGTTAAACGGCAAAATTCCTCGAAGATTGTCGATGGTGAAAATCACTTAAAATCACTTACTCAAAATACTTATTGTTATATGCATATAATAGCAATTATAAGTAATATTTCATACGAACACTTAACATTTTACGTAAAAAAATCGCGAGAGTTTTTCGTGAACGAAATTCAATTTTTTAGACAGTAACAATCGAGAAAAGTAGAAAGACGGTTTGAAACCGACTCTGCGACTTCTCACGGCACATTTCACAACTAATTACGTTCGAATTTACCGACGAATGGTAATGAGATGATTGCAAATTGTCACAATTATTCACATTCCACAAATCTACTTTAAAATCCTCAACATTGCGAAAAATAAAATTCGTAATTCAGTAAACATTAATGAAATTATATATTAACTGCAATAATTATATTTAATATGCAAGATTTCTCAATATATTTCTTAAAAACGCTATTGAAATATCGTGAAAAATACTTAACACACATTTGATACATTTAAATATTTTAACATAGTAAAATTTACTTATTTAATATATTCTAATTTTTTTAATTCTCTTACAATAAAAAAAATTATGATGTAAAAATGTATATGTTACAATTTATAGTTACTTTATTAAAAAATGATAATAATAAGAAAAGAAAGTGAATAACAATGATAATCTCCAATTATCTCAATTATCTATATTATCTAAAAAAATTATGTAGATATTTATTTATATTAAAATAAGCTTTTACATTATAGAAATGCATTTGTAAGAAATAAAGCGTAGGAAATTAAACAAGTAACAAAAATGTATGAATGAGAATTATGTAATGAATAAAATTAATTACTAAACTTGCAAGCAATTAATAAATTTCAAATATAAGTAACTTCAAATATAAGTAAATAAGTTATATAATTACAAAATCTTTATATAAGAAAATTATATAAAAAGAAAGGAGGAAGAAAAGAAAGAAAGAAAAAAAAATAAAGATGTATAAAACTATATAATCACACGAGACTATATATACATAGTAAAATAGAAAACTGTCATGAATTTCATTGTATGTACAAAAAAAACTTTAAATTATATATTAACATTTCACCAAACAATCTGCCATTGGTCTGTTGTTGGGCATTTCTTATTAGTCTTACATAAACGATTGAATGTAGTTTCTGGTAAAAAACCAATAATCTCTCTATCTTCTTGTATTCTATATGTAAACGTTGATTGATGTGTCCCTATGAAATATCTAATAAAAAAGAAAAAGTTGTTTAAAATTTGCATATCTTACAATTGTTTATAGAAGATGGCTTATAAGAAAATAACCCTTATTCTTAGAATTATGTTTATAGTTAATTACTTATTACAATTTATATAAATACTCTTACCTGGCATATGAACAAATTATCTGATCAATAATGGCAATTCCACCATCTTTAAATTTACTGATCACATAATCAGACGGTACAAATTTCAAGACTTTGTATTGAGGCAAATATGACTTAAGTTCTTCAAATTCTAGAAATACCTATTATTTAATTTGTATAAATATAAAAAAAAATTTTAACAATTATGGAGAATTAATAGAATAGCTAAACTTATGTACCATGTTGTTCTCCATCTGTCGCAACAAACAACACAGTTAGTCCAAGCTTATCCATTTTTTCTTGCAATTGAGAAGCAGCATTCTTTATATTCGGTACTGACTTTTTATGGCCTACGATAAAATCACGTCTTCTAAGATGGACTGCTAAATATGGACCGCCCTTTGCATTTCGCCGACTCTAAAATTAAAGCAAACTGTTGCTTTATCAACACTCTCTAATAAAAGAATAAATAATAATTATTATAATATAACATACCTTTTCTTTAGTCCAATCTGCAGGTCGATCTGTGTTATCATTTTCATCTGTGGAATTCAAAAAAGATTTTCTATAATTTTTCGCAATATTATACAATTCGGAATTATATCGCATGCTGCGTCTGGCCTTCCAGTATTCTTTAGAGCCATATTCATCATGCAAGGCAATCTCCATATGATCAAACATTATAGATCTGTAAACAGAAAAGAAATTGTTTGAAATTTGCTTATCTTACAATTGTTTATAGAAGATGGCTTATGAGAAAATAGCTCTTATTCTTATAATTATATTCATAGTTAATTATTTAAATTTAATTTATTACAATACTAATAAAAGATGCTTTATTTTTTATAAAAAAAAATAACTAGATGAAAATACTTACCTATATTTGGTCGGTTTGAGATTTTGATAAAGATAAGATGCTGTGCCATGAAACTTGAGACATTTTACATTTTGAGTTGTAATATTACTGTAGCCCCAAAAAGGACTAGTGTATATGTATTGTTTTGATTTATAGTTCTGCAAAAAATCTTGAGAACAGTCTACTATTTCATTCTTATCTTCAAATTTACCAGTTTTGAACATTTCTTCATCATTTTGCAAAATATACACACAATCGAGTTGTATTTCTTTGTTTCCAGATGAATACTCTAAAATTACATTTCTAAAAAAATTTCTTAAATTTCTAAATTGTCTAATTCAAATAATACTACTAATTTAAAAAGAAAAAATATCAATATAAATGCATTATATATTTTTTGAATGTAATACTAAATAGAATAATGTTAGACATATTAAAAAGCAAAAGAAAAGATATTATATAAATAGGAATCATATTTTCCAGGCTATTAATTGAAAAAATATTCAAATACTTCTTTTGCAATAATTGTATGTGTAACAAATTTTCCATACATCTACTATAATTCTTCTTTAATTCTTTTAATAAATGATAAAGTAAAATATTCTCTGTAAATCTTTACATATATTTAAATATCTTTTATCTTATTTTAAAAAAGATATTCTCTTATTAATTTATGTTTCTCTGTATTTTCTTTTTCATTTTATATCCTATATATTAATTTCATGAAATATCAAATATAAAATTGAGAATCAATCTATATATATTTAAATTATATAAATATATTAGTCATCAATGAAATTTTTGCTATCATTTCTAATAAAAAATATAAAATTTATACCTTCCAGAAATTTATACATTTCAATAACTGGTATATATCGTTGCAGACTTGTTATATCAAAAAAAGTATTCCAGAATATATACTTTTGAAATTCTGTATTCTGACGTTGCCAATGATATAAATTACCTAAATCAAAATTGAAGAAATACATGATTATGAATATTATAGATTCTGTAAAATATATAATCTTTTATTTTCATAAAAATTACCCCATGGTGGTAAAACTAATTGCCACTGATATTCTTTGTCTCTTTCAATTAATCTTTTAAGAAAAACAGCAAGACGAACATACACATCTCTTCTCAGGTTGAAACCTTCTGGAGGATTTATATCGTAAAGGATGTAACTATGCATAAAAGAAACATATTATAAACCTTTATGTAAAAATATAAATAAAAATGTAGCATGTATAAATGATAATATTTTCTAAAATAAATCGCATGAAAATAAAATAATTCTAAAATTTTAAGCTTTTTTTAACTTATTTTTTCTAACGTATAAATTACATATACAATCTTTATTCTAACCGTTTTTGCGCAAAGTTGTTTCTAACAGAACACTTTTCCGAATTTTCGGCATATTTATCAGATACTTCGCAAAATTCAAGTTCATTGCCATTTACGATATATGCAAAAATTAAAATAATAATATGTAGAAGTTTAAATATAAGCATTTTTTTCAATTATTTATATATGTATACAAGTTTGTTCTTTTTACAGTTTTATAATCTTTTTTTATTAATTTTAGTTGGGAAATAACTAAAATCACTAGATTTACAAAGTACCGCAATCCATAAGATTCATTGGCCGCATTCAACGGACAGAATAGTTGGATAATATTACTAAATTTCCGATGCTGATTGGTCGGACCTGAAAATAGAAACCAATAGATGCTTTCCAATTGTTTAACACATCTTAATACAAATGTGCACAGGAAAGCACAAAGTGTAGCGATGTGCACGATTCAATTGAAACAAAATTGTACCATAGTATCTATATCATATATATAGTACTCCTATATTACCAGTTCTGTAGGAGGAATGAGCGAAAACATTACGGTTCAGACGATAGCTTCTCTCTCGCACGGTTAATTTATTGTAGCACTTTTGCGCATGCGTCAAATATATATGGCCATATATTGGCCATATAGCCATATATTGGCCATATGGCCAATTGGAACGCGACTTGTGTCGCCGTGTGCATAAAAGTGTCTAGGGATATCTCAATTGGAAAGCACCCAATCATGTTTGATTGCTACTCAACGGTTGAGTCCGCTGAATGCGACCAATAGTTACATAGTAACAATCGAACATGATTGGTCTCTACTTTCAGGTCCGACCAATCAGCGTCGAGTTACATCGGAAAATCTAGTAATGTTGCCCAATTGTTGAGTCCACTGAATATGGCCATTAAATGTCACTCATAAGTGTTTAGAGTTTTTCAACCAATCAGAAAGTTATATGTTGAATTGATCACTTGGGCTGAGGTCGGGAAGACGCTCTGGATGATTTGAAACATCATTCTATCTTTGTTCTACATTCCATGAGAATAAAGATAGAATGATGTTTCAAAGCATCCAGAGCGTCTTCCCGACCGTAGCCTTGGACAATCAAGCCCTCTTAGCACTTGTAAATAGTGAGCTAATAGGGATTTTTTTATCTACTCTCTTTGCTATGCGAGTGACGTGATTCCCATCTCTAATCTTCATATTCTTATTTCTAATCTTTGTGACATGTCCACATGCGTGGAGCTATACGTACTGACATACATGTTCGTAAAATATATATAAGATGGGATTGCCCGGCTTTTTGTATCGTGGCGAGTTTGATTTTACACAGGTTAATTGATGCTCTAAGATAATATACTTTGCATTATCTTTCATCTATTGTTATCACGCCAATTTTTGTTAAATATTCGTCGAGAGATTCATTTCTTAAACATTTAATTTGTCGAAATGACAATCGGCAACTAGCAAAGTTTGTAACAAATAATGCGTCGCGTAAAATCATGAAGCTGTACGAGGTAATTGATTTTCATAATTTGATGTTTTGGCAACCACAAAGTGATTTATATAATTATATCGAAATAGATACGTAATCTATATAAAAATATACAAACATATATACATATATATATATATATATATATATATATGTATATATATATATGTATGTATATAATTAATATCATGTCCTCTTATTAAACAGAATCCCGATGGCGTGCCTTTGGAAGAATTGCAATTAAATATTAAAGACGATGGAGTGATTGTTGTAATAAGTGCATTGGTATGTATTAATTTTTACACTATAATAATATAAAAGCTGTTAAAAAATTTATGATGATATAAATATTTTATAGTGATTGTATATATGTATATGCAGCAAATATTTAATATATTTAAATATTCCTACATATGATTAAACATATCATTAAACATTAAATTTTTTAGAATATAAAATGGACAGAGAAACGTTATTTTTTGCATTACAAAGCACCAGAAATATACAATGAAGATGGATCGGAAATTGTGGGTGCTAGGGAACATTGGATAGAAGTTACAAATTATATCACTGAAGATTTAAATTGGTTACTTAATCTTCCATTTTATAGGTACGATATATATCACTTGTATAATTTTTATATTATCGATATATACACACACACACTATATATAACTATATACACAACTGCTATATAGTTATCTCTTTCTTATTTAGATTTTGGTCCAATATTATATACAATACTTCAATTATAGATACATTAGTATCTTTTCTACAAGAGGCTCCACCTTTTTATGCATTAGAAAATTTTCCTAGCGAACCAGGAATGCTTGAAGCATTAGAAAAGCTTCATTACAATGTACTTATGGTTTTTGCACGTCTTGCTACAAACAAAGAAAATTCGACAGAATTCATGAGCCGTCCGTTCCTTGGAAATTTGTTATATGACAATTATATATTTACAATACCAATTATATTTGATTTATGTCAATTGTATGGTAGAGAAAATACTAAAGTCATAGAGAAAATCATATATAGCGTATTTACTCTGCAACCAATGTACAATGATGATCTTGAAAAGTCTGTTACATGTCTCATAAAGGTGATGTATGGTGCTTAGTAGTACAATTGAAAAGAATTTATTAACTTTTTGTTATATTTTGATTAATGATGTAATTATGAAAAATATTTATCTTTTACTTATATTTGTGATAATTATATAAAAATTATCACAAATATAAGTAGATATAATTCTATAGAAAAAATTCTTTTGTGAAATACATCAGTAATTATTGTGTGAAAAAATTAAATAAAATCTTGTCAACTATAAAATTATAGATTTATTTTTACAATATTTAATCAATACTTTTATTCATGTAGGCTTTTGAAAATGTCGAACGAAGATTCGAAGATTGTCTAGGCCACGCAAGTGGAGCAGTAGTGCTTTCAGAGAGAGAAAATGATTCCACCGAGATGACATTATATAATTTAGAGGACTTGATATTGTACATTCTAGATGTATCATCGACTCTTACTGTATTATTAAAAAGTTATTCTCCAGTAATTATTACATTTCATAAAGATGACTTCATCAACAAGTAAATAAATTTTATTTTATTACTTACATTTAATTAATAGAATTAGTAGATTTCATAATTTTTTTAGAAACACATTTGTATCTTTATTTTATTTTTTTAAGTCAATCTTTTTAATAATTAAAAATTATTAAGTTTATGGTCTCTATTATATTTATACATATATGTACATTTTGTTTAAATGATTTATCGTATTGTATTTTTGTTTTCTAGATTGGTTATATTTTATGGGAATACAATACCTGAGATGTATAAAAAATTAGACAAGTTAGCATATAATGACGAAAATATGCCAAAATACATCGAATTGAAACATCGTCTTGATGTAACTAGAGTGGAAGTGTTAAATCTTTATCGAATTATTGTCTATGAACCTATATTAAATATTCAGGAAAAAGTGTAAGCATGAGAAAATGTAGTTTTCTTAATATGTAAATATTCTAATTAAAGAGATGTAATTTAGTTGCTAATATTACTTTTATCTTTTTTAGGAACACAATAACAGAAAGTGAAGTACGAAATTATATAGATGAATATTTGAATTTACTGATGAATGCTATGACCGAAAAGGAATTTATTATCGATTATCATGAGTTTTATCCAATTAATGTCGATCTTGCAAATCTTTCAACACTCTGTCCTGAAATGTATCCTTTTTTTAAGAAATTTTTATATGTATATAATATATTTACATATTCTTTACATCACATAATATTCTTTCATGACAGTGATGCAATAAAATGTGATTACATCTTACAATCATTATATGCATCGATTGGAGATACTAAAACATTAGTTAATGCATCCCACAATAATACAAATGTAAGTTTTATAAATACATACAGATAATATTTATCATGTAAAAAATTTGTTATTATTATGTATGTAGATGGCTGTTGCTGAATCTAGCAGTGTTCAAAGTAATCAATGGGAAGGAAATTGCAATAATGTGAATTATGTAAACAATGAGATGGAATCCATTTCAAAAGATCCTGACAGATTGATGTCTCTTATCTCTAAAGTGAAAGAAATTTTGTGTGATTGTGGTGAAGGTTTTATAGAGGTAAAAATTTTATATAAAATGTATACTAAATTAATTTAATTATAAATAAAAATAATTAATTTTTAAAAACCAACTACTAATATATACACTTATCAACTAAAAACCATGTATATTTGTATAAATTTAAATGATATTATAAAACTTACAGCAATGTTTAAAACATTATAATTATGATGTTGCATCTGTAGTAAATGCAGTTCTGGAAAATGATAATTTACCATATAATTTGAAGGAATTAGATAGGACATTACCGTTACTTCTAGATCCAATGGTAACTAATAAAATAATTTTTATGCTGTCACAAGTTGTAAAGTAACAAAAATTAATTTACATTGTGTATCTTTAGGAAGCATCATCTATTGTAGATTCGGCAGTTCAAGATGGCATTCAAAGATTAAATGTTTTTGATAATGACGAATTTGACGTTATGACACGAGATGTCATAGACACATCAAAGATTCATGTAGGAAAAAAGTAAGTTATTAAATATTTATTTAAATAAATTAATATCGAAGACTTTTATTATTATACAATTCTAATTAAATACAATAGAATCTTCTATTCTGGAACAATTATTCTATTCTATAAATTGGAATAATTTTAATATGAAAGTGAATAAAACAAAGCAAGTAAAAGACAAAAATGTTTTCATTTTACATATGTATCATTAGAATAAAATAAGTGATACAGAATAAAATGAATATTAAAAAGAGATTCCAGAATAGACAAGTAATTCGATCCCTTTCTTGATAGTTTTTGAGAATAGACAAGTTTTATTGTGTGTTTTTTACCAGGAAAGATAAGTACAAAAATGCAAATGAAATGTTAGATGATAAATCTGAAATTAAGAAATGTCGGAAAGTTTACGAGAAATATAGCATTGTCGATAGTTATGATGATGAGTATGACGATACATATGACAGCCATAACATTGGTGGTAATGTACTGGATGATTCAGAAATAGACGCCAGATCATTTACTATTCCAAGGGTTAGTTTAAATATTTTATTTTTATCTTCAATCTACAATTTTATCTATATGTAAATTTTGCTTTTTATGCAAGTTTTTCTTTTTATTTAGATACTTCGTGCATACCATAAAAATGACGTTAGTTCCGAAGATGAAAGCGAAGTTGAAGATGAAAAGCCAGTGCAAAATGGTCATTTTGTACAAAATCCAGCGGAATTACGGGCAAAAATCGAGCAACAGAGACAATCAAGAGAAGGCAAAAATGCGCGTGATGTAGTTGGTATGTTATGAATTTATTTATTAATTTTTTTTAAACTATTTATATATAATCTCATAAAGCTATTAAACATACTATAATAAATATAAAATAAAAAAATCTTTATTTTTATTCCATAAGTATAGAAAAATTGTGCTGCTTCAAATATAGAAATTTGTCCTTTTTGTACATATTAGATTTAGCATTTTGAAATTGTATTCCACAATAAAAAATACAACAATATTAATTACAATATTAATACAGAACAATAACTTTAAGCACTCACACATGAGCAATCACTTGTATTTCTTTTTTATTCAATCTATTCGTTGGTCACTTTATAAATTAAATAAACAACATGTTAGATACAAAAGTTGGATAAAAATTTGCATTTTTATAAGTGTACATCTATCTTATATTTTAAATTTTTTGTTAAAGGCAAATCTAAAGGTCAAGGGCAAAATAAAGATGTCCTGATGAATAGACATAAGAAAAATGTGCACAAAAATACACAAGGCAATCACAATCGTCGCATAGGATCTCAAGTAAAAAAAAGACAAGGAATGATTCCATCTTAGATAGCGGCACATTTTCAAACGGCAAACGTGAGAAATCTACAATGTACATACTGCCAAGAGAGAGAGAGAAGCACAATGAATATATTTATATAATTATTATTAACATCATTCCAAAATAAAATAAAAGATACTCTTTTAACAATCCTTATCACCATCATTTATCTATTTGGTATTGTTATTCTTAACAAAGAACTTTAACAAAGGAATATATACTTTTATTTGAAAATAATGTCTTAAATATATATGTTTAAAGTTAAGATTTTTGAAATATTCCTGGAAAAATGTTAAACTTATTCAATGATCCTTTACTATAGTTAGCGCCCTCAACCTATTTAATTCAGTGCTTACAACTTGCTGATATTCCTCCTCGGTTACTGTTGAGCTCAATGTTAATTCGGAGGAACACCGAATAGGCATCAATTGGGTGTACAATTGCGTTGTATGCCCATAATAATTTAATTGTACCATAATCACAGCGTGAATGCTCGGATTAATATATTCTAGTCTTTTTTCGAGAAATGTCGGTAACTCTGAGAGTAATTGAGCGTGTACAGTCTTCAATTCTTTAGAAGCTGCTTCCTCTGCTCTGCGTTCTCGCTCTAATTTCGCGATATGATTTGCAGTTCTATCTTTCTTCTCTTGTAGTTTCTTCACACGATTATACAAATATCTCCATGTAGTCACTAAATCTTCGCGCTTTGCTAATGCTGCAGCAATAGTAGCAAATTCATTTCTCAATTTTTTCAGAGGTTCTATAAAGGTCTTATGGCACAGACTAGTTATTTCTTGAACGTTTTTTCCTACCTGATGATGTAAAGATATAATATAAACTATATTCTCTCGAGCAAGAATATGTAAAAATGTCACATACGTCAACTTACTTGTGCAGCGACAGAAAAATATTCTTCCACTATTCTTCTATAATCATCGTTATTCTGTGCTAATCCACAACTGATAAGATTCATGCTTAATCGTTGATCCGCTCTATCCAAATTTACTAGAGCTCCTATATATTTCTTCATTTCTTTAGTTAATTTTCTTATTGTGCTTTCAATACTTGAAACAAAGCATAAATATAATATTGTATTGCTCTTAAATGTTTTCAGAAAAAATGATAAATATAAATATAATTCTTTGTAAAAAGAAAAATATAATTATATTGCGTGGAAATGTACATATATATAAATTATTATAGAAAGAAGCTTATGCTAAAATATAATTGTTAGATATACATCAATTACAACAATTTCTATTAAATATACATACTAGATGAGTCTTTGAACAACGAGATCTAATTCTTGATCTTCCACATGGGATAAAAGTGGTGGCGCAAAAGTTGGTCTCTGAGTTAGATAGTTTTTCTTCAAAGGATTCCTATTTAGCATACAGTATATATTTTCTATAAACTTATAATTTAAATATATATATATATATATATATATATATATACATATAAAACACTTCACATTTTTAATAATTTTAATAATTAACCAAATTTATTAGTTTACCCACCACGTCATTTTGACGCTAATTAACAAAAGTTATTATAATAATTGTTCATGTCACACATAATAACTGTAAAACAAACTTATAAAAAAACACATTGTTGTTACTTATAATCTTCATTTGTATATTTTAATTATCATAAGCGATTCGTAAACGACATTTAATACATTTATATGTTGTGGTCTTTTCCTCTTCTATTTGCGCTTGCGCTTGCGGAACATCAGCTGATTAGAGGCGATCACAGTCGTCACAGTTCACAGTGGCGTCAGTGACATGATTGGAGTTAGCTTTTCAGATTTCACATTAGATCTAACAATTTACTGAAAGCTTGCGAGATCGCATAAGAAGTACAAAAGATGTTTCCGGCTTACGCACATTTGTCAGCTTACGACAGGCACAAGAAACTTATAAATGATTATTTGACATTTTATGGAAAATCTGTATCAAAGCGAGATACGTAAGTTAAATATTTTATTTTATAATTTGGAAATTTGATTTTACTAGGAAAATATATTTTTTGCCGCATATATTAAATCTTCATTTTGCTTAATTCCATTTTGTAAATACTCTTTATACAATTTTGCTTTTTTTTTACCTTTAGAGCTTGAATCTGTCAAGTATTCCTAAAAATATTTAGCCAATCTTTGGCTATTTTATTCTGATCATATTAATATGTATGTGTATAAATAAACAAATACGTTTATTTAATATCTATTACATTTCACAGATATTATGCAATTAATTAGATAATAATTACGTTATATATACGCTTGATAAAGTTTTAAATATTGAATATTATTTTTCCTTGTATGACATATCTTTCTGTTAATATAATTAATAGAATATACTGGTCATACTAATACAATTTGATCAAACATCTAAAAACTTTTTGTGATGCTTATTTAATCTGCTTCCAATAGCTTGCATCTAAATACATTCAAATAATTATTGAATAAATATTTTTCCTGGTTCAAACCATATATTCGTTAAATTTCAAATTGCTTATATTTGTTTTGAAATGTTATATCTTATTTTTTTTGAATGTCATATCTTATTTATCTCTCAAAAAACTTATTGGGATCTAATCAATGTTATCCTGTCCTTCAATTAGACATAGATGTTATTTATATCCTTTGTTTTAATTTACTTAATAAGATATAATATATTCAAAAAATTCATTTTTTACTTTAAAATCAGAAAATTTGATTACTACTTGATTGCTACTTCTTTATTTCCATCATGTTGAATCTTTTAAAATTTACTAATGTCTTTTCATTTTACCTTTCATATAGTTTGCAATGATCATTCTGATAATGATTATTCTTTTAAAATTTCATGTCATTGTTGATTTTCAATTAAATTCTGTTTCCTCCACTTGTTTTCAATTTCATTGTCATCTTTTTATTTCGTCACACATTACAATTCTTTTTCTACTATAAAAATTCCAATTTCTTATCTTTTTCTATATCTTTATATTATTCTTTATATCTTTCTTTACTTCGCACTGTTAATTCTTTACATTTCTCATAATTTTACTTTCTGTTTTTACTTTCTCTACTCATTTTATTTAAATTAGACATCAATAATAGTTAAATAATTGGGCTTTTTTATTGACATATATATATATATATATATATATATATATATATATACAAATTATTTTTGTTAGCTATTCAAGTTAGTTATTCAAGTTGAGCATACATTGCAAGTTGAGTTATATTAGCATGCTAGCAGTATCCTTGCCTTTTGTTGTAAATGCATTAAATACACATTGTTGTTAAATATCATCTGTTGTACATTACTTATATGTTGTATCTTACAAGAGAATATTATAATATTATTCTACTTTTTTGATGTATAAAATATAGCATAATGCATCTAAACAGAAAATAGACTTGTTATTTCTTAATAACACATCTTTGATAAATTCTACATTTCCTTGTGGCAAATTTATTATTAAATAAAAGTTGTAACTGCATAAACTTTATAACAACCAGATCTTGAAGTTTCGACCTGTTTTGAGGTCCCGGGACAAAACTGACTATGATGTCATCAAAGAGAATCACAAGTTTCTCTGGGATCAAGAAAAGGATATTCCAGATACATGGGGTGCAAAATTAGCTAAAAAATACTATGATAAATTATTTAAGGAATATTGCATATGCAATCTTACATATTATAAATATAATAAGGTGTGTATATGATATATTTCAATTTTATATCTTCTTTATCTCTATCTTACTTTATTATTTTATGCATACAAATTTGCATTTTAATTCGATTATAAAATTATTTTCATTATATGAGAGTACAATTTGTATAATATTTAGGTTGCTCTGAGATGGAGAACTGAAAAGGAAGTAATAGCTGGAAAAGGACAATTTGAATGTGGTAATAAAATGTGCAATAAAAAGGAAAATTTGCGTTCTTGGGAGCTGAATTTTGGTTATATAGAACATGGTGAAAAAAAGAATGCCTTAGTAAAATTAAGTATGTTATTAATTTGAAAGTAATTGTACATTGTAAGGGACTAAAGTAATGACTTGTTTTTATGTTAAGGGCTTTGTCCAGAATGTTCGATAAAACTTAATTATCGATCGCAAAAACGTGAGGTGAAAAGGAAAAAATGTTTGAAACGTTTGGGTACAAATTCGAAAAGTAATAATAATATGTCTGTTACATCCGATAATCAAGGATCCGATAAAGTAGAGACAGAGCCTAACACAACTGAGATACAAACTAATATGGAAGACATTGATACAGACGAATCAAATATTTGGAAAGAAAAACCAGCACAAGATATGGAAAAAACGAGAGAAAAAGAATTTGAAGAGTATTTGGCAGATTTGCTTATGTAAATATAATTGAGACTTTAATTATTATGCGTTTTATTGTGAATGAATATCAAATAAAATAATCTTGTTAGATTTACGATTCCTTTCTTGCATATATAGCTGTAATAACGCAAACACATCATTAATTATAAAATTGTTATAATTGTTAAAATATTTTATACGAAGAATATACGGAAACGCATCATAAAAGCATACATTTGATTTTGTTCATTATTGTATGTTCTGTTACATTGTATACAAAGAGAAGTAAAATATTGTCTTAATCTTTTCCAGCCTAAGGCATATGTTTGCTAATACAAGTTCAATAATTAGTTAGTATTTGTTATGAGGAATTAATTACAGTTAATACTTGTTAAGTAGGAAAGTTGATTAAGTAGGAAATATGATCAATCGTTTAAAAATTAATTGATTTAAAGAATACAATCGTATATTTTTGTTCTGTACATACTAACTTAAACCACAATTTATTTGGGGTTTGCTACATCTGGTATTTATTTCATCTTTTTCACGCTTCAATATATAAGCTTGTATTACATATAAAAAGAGTGGGCTAGTATTCAATTTTAGAATAAGTTTAATATCGTCAATATTTCTTACTATATCAACACTTTTTTTAATATAATACTCCTTAACTCTTAATAATAAAATGTAAAGTTATTCAGCATATACAATGCTAAAACAAAGTCTAATACATATTGTGTAATTCAATATCTAAATGTTTCATAATGTGAGCGTTGTGCGCTAATTGTTACATGAATGTCTTGCAAAATTATCTACTAGAAAATCAAATCTCATTTTTGCATTAACATGATATTTGAAAAATATAAATTTTTCTATATACATACTTTGGAACTAAATAACGTTAATGCGCGCAAGGTCATTATATATTATAATTCATATATATAATTGTTTGAAACGTGATATATCTTATTTAATAAGCTATATGTTATGTTTTATTCGCATTTCAACTTATAACCGACATATTTAAAACATAAGATATATCTTATTTAATAAGCTACATGTTATATTTTATTCAATTTTCAATCTATTTCAGTTACATGAGATGATAAAAGTAGTATCTCGTATTTGAAATAAAATATTATTTCAATTACAATTTGCGTTTTTTATACACGTTTTCCCTTGATTAGCTTGTTTCTGTGAATCACTATCTTCATCACTGCAATCCTCATCGTGCGTATGCGTAACGTTACGCGGCGTTTCTGGTCTTGCATGTGGAATTTGACTATTAAAATGATCCACATACAAATTCTTCTAAGCAAAAACATACAAAAAATTACATTTCGAGAATATTTATTATTAAAGCACAATTAATCTGCACTGATCAATTAATATATCAGCTATCATATGACAATGAAATATTGTTTTAAATACTTACGGAAAAAGGTCGATTATGTTCTTCTTCCTCATCTGCCAATTTAAATGTTCTAGAACGGCTTATCATTGGCGTTTCCATGACAAATCTTTGTTCGTGTGCTACCGTACTTTCATGTGGCATCTAAAAATATAATATAATACATACAATTTATAATGTATAAAATATAACATGAGATAAAAATTGTACACCCAAGTTTATCCCCAAATTTACAACTTACCAGCATAGCAGGTGCCCTGAACATGTATGAAAAAGGATAATAAATCAGATTCAAGAAAGTCGCCGCATATAGATCGGCGTACCTGACGACTTGACTGCTGAAAAACGTTTGTCTACTTCCACTGCGAAACAAGGAACCCATCATGCCATAAGCCAAGTCCATTTTGTGCGTGACATCTCTTATAGATGCGCGTAGCTTCGAGATATCGGGTTTTTCCTTTGTACTACTGTCTAAATTTCTGAATAAGGAGAAAATGATACGACAACATTAATAAAAACATACAAGTACAGTTCAGATTCATTCTTATTCCGACAAATGATAATGTATTAGCATTATCGTGTATATATGTATGATTATGTTGCTCACTTGTACATTTCTCCGAGCATAACGTCTAAACTTTGTAATTCGGCGAACAATTGACATTTATCGGTCCAAACGTGCAACTCTTGGACCAATTCAGGGACTATTAAAAATGTCCTCCAACCTCTTATTTTTTTACTTTTTAAAATATCACCAAATATATGATCACCAACATATAACACATCCTTTCCTTTTGCACCAATAAATTCTGTAAACACGTCGCACGAACCTCCTGAATATACTTCCCCTGTTTTAAATAAAATTAATTTGATTACGCAATAAAATTTTACTTATAATTACAAATAAAAAAAAATTTCTTAAATTATGTTTATCATATGTTTGATGTATCACCTGTGTGAAGTGGTCCTTTATGTGTACCAAGTTTTAAAGCGCCTGTCCTCGTATCCACTTGTCGCAGAATTGTCCCTTCTCCAAAGAACAATGGCTTTCTGGCATCTACCACAATTGCATCAAAATATGTTTTCCAATCTCTGTGCGGTTCATCAGGCTAAAATGAAAGAACATTGTACTTTTACTTTTATTTTACAAATAATACATGGGATGTTTTGTAAAAAGAGATTTCACATGAATGTGTATACAAAGTATTATGTTGTAAATTTACATGTTTAACCCCCTAGAATGATATTATTACTAATGGGATAATAAGATATACATATTTAAAAAAATATTAAGTTCACTTGTATAAAAATTTTAATAAATATTCATAACAGTTCTAAGAGATTGGCTATCATGTCGCGATTTTCACAAAATAAACTAACGTCGCTTTAAAGTTGTCATATAATTTTTTAAATTATTTATTTTTAATTCCTCTGCCTCTTATATATATATGTACTTTATTCGTACTTGATCAATTCGTGTGAAACAACTAATTTTTAAAACATGTAATAGAATATAAAAAAGAGAGAAAAAACATACCCTTGCACCATGTGGAAAATCGAATAAATAAGTCATAATTTTATCCGTGAAAACATAATCACTGTTAGTTAATAAAAATACTTTCGCTCCGCTCTCTCGGATTCTCGCAAGAAACATGGGCAATCGCTCGTCCTTCTTTACGTACTCGTCCAAATTCTCGATTGTCTTTGTCTTTAAATTACCGTGGAGGTGTATCCAATCTACCGCATTTCTGACATCCTGAAATATACTTTTAAAGCTCATAGTGAGCTCACCTTCTTTCACTCCAGTTTTTTCTCGGCTAAATTGGGGCGAATTTGTGAAAAAGTCTATCAGACAGGCTAGCAAATAGGTTTCCGGTAGATTGAATAAAGTATTGAGCACATAAACTCTAGACTCATCTAATTGTAGGAATTTGTTTGGATAAAGTTCATAGACCTGAGAACTGAAATAAAACAAATCAAGTAGAAAGTGAGGAATAAGAAATTGTCACACAAATTGTACAAAGAAAGAGTGAAATATAATATTTTTATCTCTTACTGTTTTAAGAACTCGAAACCATGGACACAAACTAAGATGTTTCCATAAGCATCTACTTTTAAAAGATTTCCATACAAGGTATCGAACCATAATCCACGAACGGGAAAACTGGGATCGTATTCGAAGGCCTTGATTTCCTGAGGATATCCCAAAGATACTAGACGATCCTTGAGCAGATTAAAACCCAATTGCTCGTACTGCGGCGATTTGTACTCTAAAACGTTCAATACAATGTAGTATATGTAATATTTTTCGTTTATTTTTTAGCTTTCTTCTTTAAAAGAAAAGATATATTTATCGAGAAATAATCACCTGCCAATGTGTAATCCATGTCAAAGCCATAAAACTTGATATTTTCCAAGTGAAGACTTCGATTGACGAAGATTCTGTAAGAAGAAAATTTGTCGATTGAGGAACATGATAAATTAATTATATTAATTTACGCTGAAAAATACGTGATTAATTTAATGAGTAGTGAAAAGAATTTAGCGACTTCTATTGTGTCTGTGGTGAGGATTTGTTGCGAGAGAGCGAAATACGATTCTTTCAAAATTTTCCTGTTGATATAAAAACGATAACCTTGGTAGTATCAGAATCAATTTTTGTGACTATGTCTTATATTGTCTCTCTGTGGATGTACGAAACATTTATTTTCTTTTTTTACTAACATTTAAGGCGGAAGATTATATTAAATTTAACAAGTAAGTATACTAAGGAAATATTGTGTGGGCCATTGAATAACAAAAAATTGCTATTTTTTTCTTCTTTTTTTATCTTTATAATAAATTTGCATCAATTATTATCAAAAAGGATCATATATTCTAAAATTAAATCTCTCTCTCTTTCCTTTCTTTTCATACAACACACACACACACACACACACACACACGCACTCGATACAATTTAATTCAATTTCCTCATAGTTAATAATGAAATAATGAGTCTTTCAATTACACTCGCAAAAGATTTATTTTAAACTTATTATTAATTTTAATTTAATATTTTGACCTTAAAATTTTATATTTAATATTTTATTATCTAATTAGCAGAAAAATTTAAATCTAGGTAAATTTTATTTAGCACATATTAAATTGAACATTCCTCGAAAAAGTCAGGCATCAGGAATTTTGTGCAAAGAATTCTGCTGGGAAAATTCATGCAAACTATAATGATTGTTTTCAATATGCAATGTTGTTGAATTAATTTTATCTTGAAACGTGTATAAGAAGACAAAAATGAGCTTCTTATCTTTGTTCGAAGCATTTGGGAATAATGCATTTTAAATTGATGCATGTTCTCATGCAATTCGACTTTCAAATATGTACATCAAAATTCCTCAAGTACTAAAAATAAACTTTATGACATTTTTTTATAGCATTAATTGCGATCACGAATTGACGGTAAAAGTTCAACACGAACAGTTCATTTCTCTATATCATAATTCCCTGAAATTCTTTTATCTTTACAATAAAATAAAAAAAACTTGAAATTTTTAATAGGAAATAAGATTAACGAGTCAGACACGCATAATAAAAATAATTATTAACACAAAAATATGATTTAAAGAGACATTGAAACAGAAAGAGAAAGAGAGAGAGAAATCGTCGATACAATATGCATTAGCTAATATTTTTTTCTTGATATTACAATCGAATTTCTTTTTTCGTTAATTATTTTTCCTGAAATTTATAGAAAAACTAATTAACGAAATAAACTAAACTAAAATGAAGAAACGGACAACTTACTCATTCTGCACGCAATATCGCGGATTCACAAAATTCGCAGTTGGCGAGGCATCGTCGTTTGTATTCTTCAACCACATTTTTCGCGAAATATCAACTAATCATCGATATCCTACGATCGATTTGCAGTTTTGTTATCCAATCATAATACAGAAATTATACAATAAAATCACAATTAAAGAAATAAATCATACAATGTGAAACAAAACATGTTCAGAAGAAACTTTAAATTTTCAATTTTTTAACAACATATACAATCAATATAACATAATATAACGATACGGAAAGAGATAAAATCGTCAAAGAAAAAGAAAATATTGCGATATCAGCTGATAAAATGATTTAAATTGTAGTTATGCGCGCGTGCACGTAAAAGAAATGTATGTTGAAAAGAAAGATGCATGTATATGTTCACATAAGAGAATTTTTTCCGTGACAAACTTTCTCAACGTATTGCGTAGATCATTCTCTGAATCCGAATATGACCACCGATTATTCTCTAATAACACACTCATTCAGTCGAGCTTAAAGCTTTCAATCCGTATTACCGCGATATTAATGACAATGCAGTAAAAGTAGCACATCGGAAGGAATGACAACGCGCATGTGTGAAAGGCGTTACTTTGTTGGAAAAACGACAATGATGTTGCCCGCTCAATGACCATACGTCAACTGGTCTGTGGCGAGTCGTCGGAGTCGATTAATACGCAACGATAGGAGCTAATTCATCGTCTTCCGGACACAAACCTCCCCCAAATCAACGATCGTGAATGCATGAATGTGTACAAGCGATTAAAACGAAATATATATATATATATATATATATATATATATATATATATATATGTGCGTGTGCGTGTGTGTGCGCGCAATTGACGTATATGTATGTAGGATGCACTTTACTTCGTAATTACGAATCGTATGTGCTATTAGTAGTGATAATTATTTTGGTGCGTATCAATATTAAGCGACGCGTTAATCGTCTCTGTGTTGTTTCTTTCTTTTTTTTCCTCCAATATACACTCAAGTATATAATGAGAGATATAAAACAAGTTGATCGTACTTTTATCAAAAGGCGGTATTTGGCGAATCTTGCAGGGAGCGATAACACGCGAAAACAGCAAGCACGCAAATCTATCCAAGTGAATCATATCACCTTGTGCTTGGTACACGTATGAGAAGTTGGCCAGTCTAATATTAGGATTGCTCGAAATCGTCGATTTCGATTTTACATGCAATCTATATGTTGTCGAAACAAAACTTAAAGTCGGACGTTTAACTCGGTTAACAATCGAACATGACCGAAAATTATATGTACCTATTTGTACGACAGCGTGACCTGAATATATATCACGCCAAAAAATGTATGCCTATTTATCTCATTATTAACTGTCGTCAAACGTAATTATTCAAATCAGATGTATATGTGTGGGCGCGTGCGCGAGCCTTGGAAAAACTTGAATAAATAATTGTGTTCAATGCTACATTTCTTCATTCTTTAGTCTTATACATATCACATGCGTAATCAGAGACGAAAAAAAGTAAATATAAGTATATATTATAAATAATATATATAATAATAATAATAATATATTATAAATAATATATATAATAAACAAATCTAATATATTATAAATAATATATTATAAAATGTCAGCGTATGTCATTGTGCAACTTAATAAATATTCCTGTCAGACTTTAAGGTGTAGAAAAAGATATATAAATATACAATTCATGTACAGAATTTCAAAGGATGAATACGAAGATTTTTTCTCAGAATTATATTTTTGCAAGGTCATTAAAGTTTCTTTTAACAAAACTGTATTTTAACTTCTTGTGTATTGCAGCTGAAATCGAGATAAATTTAATTGTGTATCACATCTATCTATGTATTTCATCTATCTATTTATGTAGAGTTGTGACGGGGATCCTCCTGTTGATCAATTTTTCACGTACGTAATCTTACTCAAGTACTCATTTAATTGTTCTTGGCATGACTTTCTTTTATCTCACGTTCCGATAATATAGATTTTTAGTTAAATCGGTCAGACTCTGCACAAGAGGATGCGTTCATATTGGAATGAAAGTCACACGTATACGTATCGTACTTTCACTGATTATTTATTCACTGCATCTATAGTGCGGTGTTTACGTGACATTTGCGTAAAATCATATTTTGACAATAATTTCCGAGCTAATTTATTTAACACTAATCATAAATATATAATTTTTAACTTGAAATATTCAATGGATATTATTAATCAAATTTTTTTTTTAAATGAGATTTAAGTTGAGTTATTTGGGTTTCGCTTCACAATCGATAGATGAAAAAAATATAGAAAAAAATCCGAAATGCATATATATAAACACATGCGTATGTACACGTGTGTCTGTATTTACTTTTATTATTAATTACCAATTCTGTTTAACATAAATCGATCTTTATTCGAACAATAGTAGTTAAGATGTGATAAAGCAATTATACGAGTAACGTTAATAATTCGTTGCACGACGTGAATGCATTATGCGTGCGTTTATAATGCGTGATTTCAATATGAGAAATGTTGCTCAACAAATGTCGGCCACTAACATGAAACGAGTTGTGTTCATTGCATAAGTCTCGTCGTTGGTAAGTTTACAATTCAATGATAGATAAAGACGGTCATGATGGAATAGTCACATGTACATAAATATCTTTAAAAAAATATCTCTTTAACAGTAATAATCTAAATTTAAAAAAAAAATATATATATATATATATATATATATATATATGAGAGAGAGAGAGAGAGAAGGAGAATTTATTGGAGAGAGAAAGAGGAAAGATGTTATATAAAATAAAAAATGTAGAGATTGATAAAAAAAATGATTTTACATCACCTCATAAATGTATGTATAAAACTTCATTTTATTAGATCCCAAGATTTATCTACTGAGAATTAATATAAATTGGTCAAATTGATGAAACAACCTGTACATATCTATTATTTCTTTCTCCTTTTAGATCATATCTGATAAGAAGATTGGTTAAAATTGCGCAATCATAGTATTCTTAATCTCTCAATCAGAGATTGTTAATATATATATATTTATATATGTGAGTGTGTGTGTTGTGTTTTATACACATTAATTGTTCTGGAAAATCTAACAAGAGAAACACTATTTTATTATAGCGACACATTCCTATGAGGCAATATGTTGTTTGGTCACATTAGAACGTTAGTTATCGCTATTTGCTTACCGAAAGAAATTTGTTTGCGCAATATGCTGGAAGTTTTCAATCATTTTATCACAATTAACTTACAAATGCATCTTGATAGTTCTTAGCGGATTATGATGTACGTACAATAAAACACGAGAAATGCCATAGATAATTTTTTTAAAAGTCAATTCGCAATTATAATTTTTTCGTTACATCATAAATAAATTAAATGTATAAATTCAATATAAAGTGATAATTTGATTAATTCAAAGTATGTATAAATTAGCATACATATATATGTGAATTAATTTCTTTTGTTAATTTCAAGTAATAAATAGATTTTATTAATTTAATACTAATTTTATATTAATATGTATTTCATCAGAAAAACGAAAGAAAGAGAGAGAGAAACTTACACAATACTTTGTGTTTTCGTTTATAAAAAATATTTTTCATTTAATAAATGACAATGAGAGTATCCATGAGAATTATGAACAACGTCGAAAATGATTGCACGCAATGAAATAACTGCCGGTAGTATAATAAAGTCCTACGAAAGATTGTTAAGCACATTATTGTCGTGTAAGGACAAGCCCCTTCATTATCTAATAATACTATGAATACTATTGAGTGCATGAATTTATTGCAATTAATCTCTATTCTCTCTAAATTTTAATTCATTTCCTGCCATTTGTGCCATTCTCCAAAAACTACATTACAAAGATTTATTTTATATTAAAAGATTAAAAAGATTTATTTTATATCTTTCACTTATTTGTTTTTCAAGAAATTTATCTTATGTGTGATTTGAATATCTCTGTTTTATAAAAAGTCTCTTGTATAAAAACACAATGAAAACAAGATATATGTATATATATATTAATAAAAATGAACAACTTTGTTTAAGAAAAACATAAAATCAGATTTAATTAGGTCCATTTAAAGAAAAAAAATTTTGTTTTTTGAGTGTTGTAATAACTTTTTATTGCTATAGGTGATTATCTTATAATAATAAAATCTGTAAAAAGCTCTATATACTAGTCTAAATGTCGAATTCGATGAAATAATCGATCGCAAAATAATGTCTCGAAATGCACATCTCAGAACTCTTTTGAACCCACGTTATACAGTTCCATACGAACTCATTGAACTAAGCGCGTATTATCGAGAGATATATTTTTTCAGAATATGTAAAATCCTATATTTTTTCAATGTACAAACAAAATTTATCATTGTTTGTTCGTTGTCGTTATGGATAAGCTAAATGACTTCGATAGCATAACCGGTAATCGCATTGGAATATTACATGATATTCTAACAATAACAAACGATATCTTGGACGGAATGAGAAATAAAATGGGTTAAAATTAGGTTTAAAACTCTACATTACTGACCCGGGGCCAAATTCTATAATTGGAATAAAGCGAAAGGTTTGCGTGAGGTGAACACCGGTCTTATATGTCAAATACCGATCCTCGAGATCGTTCGTCACATATTGACAACAGCACGGAATTTGGTCCGCTTTAATCTCACTTAATGGAAAATCCTACATTTACCTGTGACCCAACTCGCGTTTATCAGTGCGGACGCCGTGAATGCCCTCGCTGTAGCTTTCCAGATCTTGTTCGCTACGATCGTTCCTCGTCAGTCCTACGTTAAGGCCGAGCATGGTACGGTGAATCGATTCCTCAGGAAATACGTTCGAATCATCCGGAAATCGCACTCTCGGCCCTACACCGTGAAATTCGAGTCTTTTTTTCGTTATGATTAAAGGATTCGCAATAATTAAATCACAAGATGCATATCTCTTCATATTAGAAATCTTTTGATAAAATCTCGTATGATAAAAATACTACATCTTTGATGAAAAGAAGAATGTAAGATAAAAAGTTCGAGTCTACATTACTTGGAATTAAATTTTACAATTCAAATATAGCAAAAAGTTCGCGTAGAGGACTGAATGATGTATTTCATACTTGAGATCTAAAATAAATGTGACAGATCCTGGACTTGTTCCATTGCAATCAACTCTTCAATTCGCTTCCGAAAAAACGCGATTTAAATAAAAATAATAATTTTGCGTATCGCTAATTAGCAAGATATCTCGTGCGGCTTATCTCTTTAAATGTTTCTTCTATCGCGGAGTAGCTGTGTTTTTCAGAGCAAATTCAAAGACCGATTGCATCGACTTATTGAGAGACAGATTAGCGCGATAATATGCATTAAATTAATTTAATTTTAAATTAATTCTTTCTTTGTATCTGTAGCTATATATCAGATCTATATCTATCTACATAACTAGATTGGTTTTCAAAATTTTTAATGATATTAGAGATACAGAATTTCCTTCTAAAGTTGACAAACTTTTGTCTCTAGATGAAAGTTTCTATTAATGCCAATAACAATGGTCAATGACAATTTGTTTTGTAATTGCATAATATTCCTTTAAATTATAATCTTCTCTTGCCTGACATTTTTATGTCAAATTAATATTATAGATACAGATAAAGTTACGACTCGAGAAAAATAACCAAGTAGATTTCAAATCTAATTAAGTTAGAATATAATCGAAACATGTATGAGACTAGTTATTGGCTATAAAATAACAAGCAGAATATTTCGAAGTTTGACTGGGCATAAACTGGTTATCATTTACTGATATCCATTTGACCTGATTAGTTTCTGGATATTTTCTAACTAGAAAATGCTTTTTTTAACACAACTTTAGTTATTAAAAAATAAAATGATTTACATACTTTTTAATTAGTAGTCATCTAGATATGATTTTATTCAAACAGAATTTTTTATCCAATTATCAAACAATTGTTGTTTAGTAAATCTAAAAAAAAGTAAAAAATACTTTTCATTATTCCGTTTTATTTTTTTTTATATCGTACGAGGAGAAATAAAAATTTATTACGCGACTTTCTGTCATGATACTTTATCACCATTTTCTGATATTAATTAAAAATTTATGAAAATATATTAAGCAAGTGTAATTAGCGGTTTCAAAATTATTATTTTATAATTTGGTCATTTTTAATTATTGTTTAACCTAATACTTAAAAGATGTCTAAACTACTGAGAAAAAATTTGCATATAATGTATAACAGTATTCGAAAAAAATAATTACCTATAGTGATGTCCGCTGACGTAATGACCACGTCGACGTTTTGACGATTCATAGCGAATTAATGACGATGCAAATCGTCGATTTCCGAAAGCTCAAACAAATAAGATGTATCGTGAAAACTGATCGCTGATAGTACTTTCCTTAACTCTGCGTCCAAGCGAATGACAATGTCGTAATGACGGAATGGAACAACGACTTTCGGTCGCGTCGTCAAACACAATTCTTTTTCTTATTCTCTCTCTCTCTTCCTGACACAGCAAAATGATAAGGACTCATCAGATCAACCGCAAGGGTCATTTGCGTGTCGATGACGATAACGATGAAGAAGAAAGGAATCGTGATTCACTTCCACATTAATATACAGAAACGTCAAATCGGGATAGATTTTTTCAGATCAAGAGATGCAGCAAGAGTGAATCAAAAATAGGCTTCCTGTAACAAACGTTACAGATGCGTTTTTCTATCTTTGATCTTGAAAAACTAAAAAAGGCAGAAGTGTTTAGATGTGTATTTTAGAATGTGAGATGTAAAATCCCGTGTCCTTAGAAAAAGATAATGCATGCGTCTGTGTATTTTTAATTATACATGTTATTTTGAAATTATTAATTTCGTGTAAATTTCTTTAACTTTTTTTTATCAAGCAATTATTATTTTTAAACAGAGAAGTTGAATTTAGTACAGTAATTTTTGTCGAGGTTTGATATAAAGCAAACTATAAATATTCTATAAATATTCACCTTAAAAATTGTATCTGCTTTTTAATTGGTTAAAAAAATGTGTATTTTTTTCTATGCTCCTTACTCAAATAGATATTTATTCAAAAGTGTAGTATTTTGAGCCGAAATTATTACCTTCATTCAAAAAAATATTTTGCTAATAGATAGATTTCTAGGTATCACAATAAAAAACTTATCGCTATTGTTTGTATTTGCTAGAACACTGTTCATAATATAAAAGAAAAACAAATTTATTATTTAGTAAATTCTAATAAAACTTTCTAACAAATTAAGTCTCATTGCCAAATATTGATCAATTAGATAAATATGAGTTTCAATGCTAGAACTAGAATGATTTTTGTGAAAAACGATTTTTCTGTGTATTGCACAGTTAAACTCTCTCTCTTTCTCTCTCTCTTATAACAAATCTGATTAACATAGACAGGCGCCACGGAAAGACTTTTTTTTAAATATCATTAATATAGTTTAGATATAAATTCTATCTCTGTCATATAGATTGATTAAGTGCAAAACATATGCGATATCACAATATTTGCTGATCATTTATCTATATCTTATAACAGTTAATTTTTCATACCAAGAAAATTGTTGCGTCGATGTTATTGCACGATCATTTTTAAGTGCTTCTTATAATTATTTGTGTACCAAATCATATTTTATCGCCGATATTAGCATAGATGCGAAAGAAGAAGAGGAAATGCGCCAAATATATATTTTTACAATCCAGAAATATATCGGGGGCAAAGTGTATCATTTAAACGAGTTATTTTTGTACGATACATATGAATTCACTTTCGAAAATGCGTAGGATTTGTATTTTTGATGCTGTCGCAAATATTAGAACGAATCGATATTAATTTGCAAATATTAGAAGCATAGTAATATAACACGCTTTTTTGGCATTTTTTCGACTATTAATCAAAATTTTAAAATAATTTAAAATCTTGTTGATGATATTACTTAAAAAGTGCTAGTTGATAACAAATTTTGATTGAATAAATATAAAGCTTTTGAATCAGCAATCTCGATATTTGAAATATGTATTAGTTTTTTTTTTTTTTTCAAAAATATACAATAGCATTTATAAATGTATACAAAAAATTCCACGTACATTTACGATTATATATTATGTGAATAAACATAAAGCATTATATTTGTAATCTATAAATTACATTCTGACATTTTTCGAAAATATTTCATTATCGAAAACAAAATTTTTACTTCAAATATATTGATAATCATTAAGCGTTATTTGCGAGCATGTACATTTTGTCCGTATCAAAAGTTTATTAGAAAGATACATTCGACATATATTTTATACACATACATACACACGCATGTATGTACATGTTTTTACATATTTAAAAAAATTATTTTTAGAATAAGCATCATAAATTAAATTAATTTGCGCGCGCAAGAAAATTCTAAACTATTCTCTTTACCGATTATAGATACTAATGTTTACTGTTATACCGTTTTACCTACTTTTTAATCTTGTGTAAAATTTTTTATACGCATTCAACGTTATTAAAAATTGATAGGCACCTTTGTTCTGCGCGAATCACAATATATGTATCTAGATATTTATTTTCAATACGTGTACATAGATTGATGAGTATTTAAAATAAATATACATTTGTCTCAACAGTGTCGATTTTTCGACATAAAGATAAAGATGTATGTTTCATATATATATCTATATACATAAACAGATATGAAAAAAACACATACACACTAACCTTTGGCTGGCTTGTCGGTACCATTTTTTGTTACCACTCGGATCATTCTCGTTTTGCGATGTAGTAAGCTCTGAGTTCTCCTGATCTCCATGCGCGTTACAATTTTCGAGCTCCATGATTAGCTGTAAAAAAATTTATACAACATTCAATTTGTATATAACCGTTTAATAAAATTTGTCTCTAAATATACTTGATGCTTTTTTCGAAAAAAATGGAATTAATAAAAGATTTATCACAAATATTTAATATTAATTAAAATTCTTTCCAAGTAACACTGATATAAAAATTTGTTCATTATCATTGATTTATATAACATATTAATTATTACATATTAAAATTATTACTGAAAAATCTGAAAAAAGCCACGGTATCAGCATAATGATAGTTATATATTGTTTATCGATACATTTGGCACGACTGCTTTGAATACCGCATCGTCATATATAGAAATTAAATTTTTACGAGATGATATAAACAATGTATACTTGATATAACAATGTATACTTTTGCACAAGTGTCATTTAAAAATAAAGAAAAGGAAAAGATTCGACAATGTCAATGTCTTTCGAGATCGTCACGAATAAATAAATATTATAAAAAGACCATTTTCCCATGTCTCTTTCTCCCTTTCTCCCTCTCTCTCTCTCTTTTTACCGCAATATAAAATGTAATTAAAAATAGAAAATTATATCCGCTCTTTTGTGATTCATAATTAATAAAGATATTAGCACTCGTGACGTTATCAGTTTCGCGACGTTATCATGGCAATTATCAAAACGGATTAATCCGTTCTTCAATGTATTTTTTTTATGTGAGAAGCGTGTGAGAGGAAGTTAAACAACTCGTTCTCGTGCTTATTTCATGTAAGAATAATCGTCAATATTATGTGGATCCAAAGCAAAAATGAACTTTCATTCTCCTACCTTGGTAGCAAGTATCTTTATCGCATACTTTTATGATGATCGTCATAAAAACTGATGATTCTCGACACTAACACCGATCTGTCATCCGAATATTTGACAGAGCGTCGCAACCTTACCCTCACCACTGCCTCGCGCGATGCAGATTCACTGCGTACTGAGGTCAATTCACTGAACTATGATAAATTCGGTCGCAGGTATGCCAATCGGACATAGCGAAAAGTTCCTAAAGCGTGTCTAACACGCGCGGCTCAATTCGGGCGGAAAGAAGAATTAAATGACATCTGCACAATTGAAAAATACTAATTATGATAATATGACAGAAACGGAATATTGATAATTTGTGTAAGGCATATATGTTTGCGATCAGTCTGTTCGTACAATAGATGTAGTAAACTTGAAGCTGTGAAATTAATCAATTATATTCAATTATTCTTTCTGCATTCAACTGCGATTGGTTAATTATCTTACTTGAGGTTTACTACACCTATTGTAAACCCGGCCTAAGAATGTACTCCGACATAAGTTTCGGAGCATTTGACCGATTGGAGCAAAGAAATCTTATCTCCCTAGCCTCGATTGGTTATTCGAACGAAGCGAATTTTTAGCGTCGAATAAAATACACGAGTTGAGCGTACCGATCAGTGTTGCCAATTTATATATATATATATATTTCTTATATCGTTGCGATACGTACCACGCGTACATACATATATACATTGTTATAATTAATATAAAGGAGGAAAATGGTGAAAGTTGCACAGAGATAAAATTGACTCTAGAAAATTAAAAATTTGTTACAGTATTTACATTCTTGGACAATTATAGCGCGGTAAATTACGAAATTTAAAAAAGTCAAATAATTTCCTGCTCTGGGTATATTCTCTAAAAAAAATTAAAGTTTAAAAATGCACGTGTAAAATTATTTCTAAAGTAATTTAGAAAATTATTAGAAAGCGTTACGCGACGTAAAAGCTCAAGGAAAGAAAAGAATTAGACGAGGGCATTCGATCGCTTTTACTTGAAGCTTGCAGCGTGCAAAGAACATGCGGCGGAAATAGGGTGCGAAAAGATGTAAAGCTGATATGGAATCGTAATACATAATATAAATATATATATATATATATATATATATATATATATATACATATGTATGTATGTATGTATGTATGTATATTTGATGTATGTATATATATACATATGCATTTAATATGCACCTGTCGGATAGTCGAGGCGCGAATAACACGCGAAGCACCCTGACCTGTAAGAGCGACGTCGGCGGCGTCGACGTCGGCGTCGTCAGCGGCTGCGACAGCGGACGAGGTCGTCCGTAGCGAGGGCCGTCGTCGAGCGAACGTCGTCGACGAGGCGATCCACGGAATAGCCGGAATAGTCGGGGTAGGAGGAGAAGGTAAAAAGCTGTGTCTCGCGGTTCTCGCGAGCCTCCACCACGCGTACGCGCTCCTCATCCTCGTCGTACTCGTCGATCGACGACGATTGAGCCAGGGCGATCGAGGGGCGCACGGACGTACGTACGTGTCGCCGCCGCATCTCAACGATTACGTCCCGCTCGCTCATCGCTATTGCGTAAAATTAATCCGATTTAGTCGGCGACCTCGCGGACGTGACATAACCTACGAATCGTAAAGTATCGTGCGTATCGCAAACTTCCCCCTCCCCTTGCCGCTTGTCCCCTCCCCCGACGACCTCGAGAGGGCGAGAGCGAGAGCGAGAGTCCGTTCTGCTCGTTTCGAGTCGAGCATCGCGCGAGATAGTTTCCGGGAAACTGATCCCTCTCGTTACCCTCGGGGGCGGTATCTCGACGAGAGGAAGCAGCGATACGCGTCGTCATCGCGGGTGTCGCGCGAGGCCGAGAAGAATGCGACGCGGCAACGCTCCCGTCGCCGTCGCGTCGCGTGGCCCAACCTACTTTTGATTCGTGCGAGTCGCTCCGACATGTGTCCGCGGTGATGCTCGGGGCTCTCCTCCAGCAGTGTATTCGCCGACAGTGAACGGTTCCGGGTATCGCACCGACGCACCCCCCCGCGCGCGCGCGCGCGCGGCGCCTCGACCCGCCCCGCCTCACCTCGCCCGCGTCACTTCGCCCCGCCTCGCCTCGCTTCGCCTCGCCTCGCCTCGTCTCGTCCGCTGCATCTCGAACGGGTATGGAATTTTGCGCGACGACAATCCGATGAACTTGGCGCGTCGACATAACCTTTAAACCGCATCTCTTTAAACGATCTCGTGATATCGTCGTTTCCTCGAGTCCTCGTTAATCGGCAGAGACTGTCGTTCTCGCGCGATCGCGACGAGATACTTATCGTCTCTCTTTTATTCTCGGCGGCCCGAAAGAAATCGCAACCACCCGTCAAGACACACGGCTGTCACGGCTTTGATTCGCTATCTGCTTGCGCGCGTTCGTTCTATCGCGAATCTTCATTCATTCGTTCGTTGCTACTTTATTCTCCTAGTATTTTACATACATACATACAACATATATACATACATACATGCACTACGTGTTTGTCGTATTGTATTTGACAATGTTCAGTTTGATTCTGTTCTGTATACTTTTGTTTTCGCGCGACGTTATATCGAGAATACAATCAGTTTTGTACCTTTAAGTTTACGATTGAGACGTATTAATAAATTTCGTTCTTCACGCAACAAATTTGTGTTTTTATTTCGTCGACTCGCACACTCTCGTACTCGTGTCACCTTCCATTTTTCCTTCATATCAATCTCGCACAGTCTTGTATATTATTCGTAAGTACCTATATATGCGTTCGAGAGAGGAACTTCTCTCACCCTTGTGTCCGCTTTGTTGTCGCGTTTGATATAAATACGTAATTTTCACCACGTTTAAAATTGTCACGTTTCTAATCGGATCTTCATATTGAGCGTACACAAAGCGACTAGGGTAAATAAAGTCCATTTTTTTAATTATTATTTATATAAATATTTTGTGCGTAAGATAATATAATTCGTCGCAAGACGTTCGTCCGCGATCAATCTCAGAGTTTCTATCGCTTACCACTTTTCCACTCTTGCACCGCTCACCTCTTTTGTTTCTTCACAAAATTACGCGATCGCGTAAATACGCCTATATGCCATACTTATACATGCTTTTTCGCTCTTGTTAATTTTCTCACTCGTTTATAAATCTTGTGAATGTGAAGCAATGCGGAAGCAGCGCGAGACAAGTGGTAAACAATAGAGTGCAAAGTAAAGACCAGAGCGAATATTACTGTGATCGTTATCCATCGTTCCTCCTACTAATCAAAGAGCGATGGTGTACTGAGAGATTAAACTTGAATTTGCGGAGAACTAGATAATTGAGAGACAATTCTTCGAGAAAATGAATAATCAAGCGTTCAGTTTGGCGGAGAGGCTCATACCTTCGACTTACGTGCAACAAGGTTTAAACGCCAAGAAATCTCGCGAGAATCTCATACGGCATTTTATCGAACATGTAAGTCCTAAATAATAACAAAGCTCGTTGTACATAGATAAGACAAAATTCGTGCTCTTTTCTCATGACATAATGTTTACCTCCAACAGCGGAAATGGCCGGAAGAAGGTTGGGACGATGCAACGATAGAAGCGTTCCTGTCGGATCTATCGCAAATGGATAGCAATAATTTCCCCTCGAATTGTAGCGTTGGTGAACGCGAAGCGAGAATTGTATCAAATATCGTCGCGAGACGACACTTTCGCATGGGACACGGCATAGGCAGATCCGGCGATCTAGAAGAAGTACAACCCAAAGCTGCTGGTAGCAGTTTAATGTATAAATTAACAAATTCTTTAGTGCTCGAAGTTATACGATATATGGGTACGCGAAATACACTTATTATAAACTTGATTTATTCGTAACTTTTGTCTCTTCTGTTTGATTAGTCTCGTCACCTAGAGAGCCTATATGTATCGAAAGAGAAGGGACAACTTTCCTTATTAATATTAATTAGTAATTAATTAGTATTTAATATTAATTAATTAGTAAATTTCACACGCATCTGTAACAAAAATGTACCCTTTGATTGCAGGGGTGAAGAGTATAGCGGGTTGCTTTCTATCCCCAATGGCTACAGGAATGAGCCTAGTTTTATGTATGCTAACGCTTAAACAAGACAGACCACGAGCGAAATACGTTTTATGGCCTAGAATCGATCAAAAATCTAGCTTCAAATCTATAATCACAGCCGGCTTAGAACCTATAGTTATCGAAATGCAAATAATAGGGGACGAATTGAAAACCGACATGCAAAGACTCGAAGCTCAAATGGCGGCTTTAGGCGAAAGCGTCGCTTGTGTACTTACAACAACCAGTTGCTTCGCACCCAGAGCGTGCGACTCTGTAGATGCTATCGCAGCCCTCTGCAGTCAATATAATATACCGCATTTGGTAAACAATGCATATGGGTAAGTCAAGAAAGATGTATCGTTCTTTTCAATCTCTATTCTTCCAGTTTGATATCTCGCTACTAAAACAACTAGTGCCATTTTTTTAATTTGAAACGTTTTTCACTCGAAATTTTATTAAATATTTTTTATTCGAATATATATATAGAATATATAGATATATATATATAATATATGATATATATGATATATATGATAGATATATATATATATATAGAATATATATATAGAATATATAGATAGAATGTTATTGGCTACTTTAGTTTCGAGATATTAAACGGAATATTCCTATTAAAAGTTATATTTTACTAAATATATTGCACTATACTCCTAAAAGCTTGCAGAGTACAAGATGCATGCATCTCATACAAGAAGCATCGAGAAAGGGTCGTGTAGATGCCTTTGTTCAAAGTACGGACAAGAATTTTCTAGTTCCAGTGGGTGGTGCTGTCATAGGTTCCTTTGACAAGACTCTCTTGGATCGCATATCGAAAATGTATCCGGGACGTGCGAGTGCGAGTTCTGTTATGGATGTAATGATAACGCTATTGAGTCTCGGAATGGCAGGGTACAAACAATTGATTGCTCAACGTAAGGAAATGTATTCTTATCTGAAAGAGGAATTGGGAAAATTAGCAACGAGACATGGAGAAAGGCTCTTGGATACTAAGGGCAATCCGATATCCATGGCTATGACTCTTCAGTGTCTAAGTCATCAACATGACAACAAGCAAGTTACTATGCTAGGATCAGTGCTATTTCTGCGTAATGTTAGCGGTACTAGAGTAATAACGACAACAGATTCTAAGCACATTGTTTCACATAAATTTGAAGGTACATACTTTAATTTATACGTAATATTTTCTAAAAATATACGCATTAAGTTTTTAAGATATTGTAATTTTTTTAAATAGTTTAATTATATGGATGGTATAATTTTTTTCATACACAAACGTCCACATACAATTATACTGTATTTTATATATCATATATTACGTGTGTATATATATATATATATATACATACATATATATATATATATATATGTGTGTGTGTGTGTGTGTGTGTGTGTGTGTGTGTAGAGGAATATTCCTTATAAATATCATATAATTGAGCAGCTATTTTAAATTTACTTTGTCGTACATTATTATCTTTGTCAAAGGTAATTTCCATTTTGTAATTTCATATTTTTGTTCCATTTGCTAAAATAGGCTGGGGCGCACACAACAGCAACTACAGAGTTCCGTATCTAACTGCTGCAGCAGCATTAGGTATGAAGAGATCTGATGTGGATGCATTTATACAAAGATTGGATAAAGCTTTAACAAAAGTAAGGAGGCGTTCAGCGCCAGTAACACCTACCGCTTCGCTCGCCGGTTCTAGCATCAATGGTGATGCAGGTGGTACTGGTGGACCAGGAGAATCTAGCACAGCCTCAACTAGTCGTGCAAGTAGCAAAGATAGTTTGAGAAAATGAACCGTAATCAACGCAACTGGCCAGTCTAACCAGCATATTAATATCAATTTGTAAGTAATTTATCGCTTACAAATTGGTATCTATAGCATGTTTCTGGGGAATGTAATTTGGCAGACACACAAAATTGTATTTATTTGTATATCGACCACGTGTTCATATATTGACAAAAGTTGTATGAAATCTGAAACAACATTGAAAATTTGAAGCTTTTACGAATTTAAAAGCACTTCAACACATTATGTAAAGTATTTCCTATGGAATGTAAAGAAAAATATATGAAAAAATTCCTCTCTAAAACATGATAATGAAACAGTGATCTATATATCAATTTTCATAGACACATGCTAGATACAAATATGCTGATTTGTCTGACCATTTGCGTTGAGATATTGTCAATTTAAACCATATACCAAAAAAGGATGACTTATGTTTCACAAACATTAAAGAGATCATCAAAATATTTGAGAAAAACGAAAAATAAAAAAAGACACAAACACACAAAGCATACTAGAATTCTTATGGCTCTATTTCACAAGAGATTTAAGTGATAGCGCTGGCCGCCGATTTAATAAAGTTAATGTGTTCTTTGTTAAAATGTACATGCTATTTATTTATTTTATTGAATATAATATTATATTTAATATTTACTAAGAGACATATATAAATAAGAATATAGGGAATGCTGAATTCTTATATTTCTTTTCACTTTATTGAGCTTCTTAATATAGTTTGATATAAAAATGTAAGACAGAAAGAAAAATAGAAAACATGTATTAATCAAAATAAATTTTTTGTATGCTTGCGTGCTTTATAAACTTTATCCTCTTTTAAGGAGCAAGTATAAAACTTACAATTCTATCAATGTAGCAGTATTCATTATTCACTAATTGTTTATATTTATTACGATATTATATTGAAACCTTTGATTTTTTTAAAGCAATTATTTCACTGGTATATGCTTAATTAAATTGATTTCTTATCAATCAATTAGTATTATAAATTTTTGTATCATATATAATTTAACATCTTTAAATGCAAAGACTTTGTGCATAAAATCAATTTTTTTTTTCATTCTTACGTAAACAGAATATATTTGTATTTATGACATTAGTAAAAAAAAACATATTATCTGTGAAAAAAAGAAAGCTGTAGTAAAATGTTTATGTGGGAATTATATACTATCATAGGAAAGTATATGACAAAATTTAGGGGTGCATAGTACACAATGACGCAACATGATATACGAAAATGTTGCATTGGATTTACAAAAAAAAAAAATAAAAAAACTGTAATATCTTCGTATATATAGACATTGTATGGTGATTTATTGTAAAAATGATAAGAATTTGGGACATAATATTGTATTACTGTTTTGTTTTCAATGCCAATAGTGTTATTTTAAATTGTGTATTCTATAATAAATAGAGTATATCGGAGCTAGAAGTATATTACGTGAATATAAATATTGTTTCAAATATTTAGCATATTTTGCAAACAAATTGACATAACATCGATTTACCACTACACCCAAACTAATTCACATTCACACACATATTTATACATACAAAAAAGATAATTCATATTTGCACAATTTATTGCATATATATGAAGGATAGTTTATTTAAAATTTTATGCAATTTAGAAAATTATATATCAAAGATGTATTTATGAATATTTAATGAAGAGATGAAGAAAAATGAAATTGATAGTGGGATTTTACAAATACACAATTCCCTTATCAATATTGTGTTAATGTTGTTAAAATTTTATTAAACATATATAATTTATGTGCCTGACACACTCTTTTTAGATTAGACATGTATTGCATTGCTTATTTATGGTTAAAATATTTATAAATTACTTTTTTTATGTGTATAAGAGTATAAAATTAATTATTAATTATTAATATCTCATTGATATATTGATAATAGTGCACGATCCTAAATTGTCAAAATTTTCGGAATATATTATAAAATTATAAGGAAAAAAACAGTGATACACAGATTAGCATTTAATTAAATGCTTAGTTATGATAGCTTATTAGGATGACAAATGTTAATCAAGATTTTGTGAGAAGCTCCTAGTAATATTTATCATTATTCGATACATTATCCTATTAATAATTATAGATTTATATTATATTTCTAAATTAATTATACTCACTATATCCTTTATATCAAAAATACTTCTTTAACATATATATGTATATGTATGCAAGTATACTTTTCTTTTCTAAAATCTATTACAATTTAGAGAGTGTTCTATATTTCTCTTTAGCCATCCTTTATCAATGGATTACGTTCGGATTTATATATATATATATGTACACAAAGAGAGAGAAAGAGAATTACATTATATTGCATATTCCAGCTTTAAATTTTATGAAAAATTTCCTTTTCACACACATATTATTTATTTTTATTTCACAAGAACGAATATTACATATACAGAAGAAATCTAGGATGTAGTAAAAGAATTGCAAGATTACTGTTATAAGATGATCATATATATAACGCTACAATAGGAAATATGTACATTGACGTTATTTAATAAAGATTAATATATGTATATATATATATATATGTATGTATAATATATATACATATATTAATATATTAAATTGAATAGAACAATTTTTATATCAAGCATCATATGTATCTTGGTGTATTCAAATGCTCTATTACAGAAATTATTAATTAATTTATATAATTTATGTTAATGAATTTATATTGCGCATTAAAAAAAACACTCATTATATACATACATATATATATATTAAAACGCTTATTCTTTAATTTATATATCACATTAAATTATTTTATATATTAGATATTAAATCTTCTTGAAGAACAATAAACAAATCATTCTATATGCATGTATATATGTATATATACATATGCATATATGTAATGATAATAGATATTCTTTAGAACAAACATACAATCTTATAACTCGTACTGGTAATATTCCTATGTAAATAAAGAAATTAACACATTTGATTTTTGTTCACATTTCCAGTTTGGTTTTGTACAATGAATAGCTTATTTTTATATACATTGTTAAGCTTTTCACCCAACAACGACATTTGTATGTGCATCTAATTTTCCTTTTTAAGTTTCACACGTCCGATATTTGAACATTTTTCATCATTATTGTCTTTTGTAATGATAAATAATATTCTAACAGATAGACAGCGAATGTGTTGATTCAAAGTGCACCTACCTGTTTTCATAAGAATAATGTATTTATGTAAGGAATAATATACAAAGAGATATGCCAACATCGATTCTTATGATATATATTATTAATTTAGCACATTGGTATATATTGTGTGTGTGTGCAACGTAATTACGGCTTATTGAATAAATATGAATACACACACACATACACATGCAAACAGGATAATTATTCACATACAACTGTGTTTTGGAAACGAAACACATTTGGGGGTTTTTAATATATATCTAAAAAGTACACTTTTTGCTGACATTGTATATACGTGGTTGTTTTAACAACAAAATTTTTCATGACTCATTTAAGATATGTAAAAGTTTCACAGCCACATAATTAAGCTAAACACAACAATATAGGCATTGATATATGATATTGCCTATCTGCCTATATATATTGCATATGCTATCATACGATAAACAATATCTTTTCGATCACAGGTAGTTTATTATTTATAAGACAATGTTTGGCATTCAAATATTTATGTAGAAAGTAAGCGAAAAAAGAAAAAAAAGATGTACAGAACTAGTTGTGAAAAAATGAACAAAATGAATGAAATTGGTCAAATGAATATGAAAGGAATGAACTATCCTCTCGAATTTTTATGCTTTTAGAAATTACATTACATTACATTATGTGCGGCCTTTTTTTCATTTGACAATTTAAGTATAAGAGAGAGTACGAGCTGAATATTAATCAAACGATAGAACAAGAACATGAACATGTAAACAGCATAACGTACGAACTCTTCCCTAATGTGATTATATATATATACCGTGTAATAGTTAACGCTTTATTTGTATAATATATACAATTCTATTGGATAAATAAATATAAAAACTGTTAAGTAATATATTTTGTTGATTTAAAAAGTTCTTGTAATGCTTAGATGTACTATTTATACCGCTTACCATATTAGCATAAACTTTGAAAATTTTATTTATTAGCGTGAACTTTAATATTTTGAGTGTCTTTGATTTTTATCAGATTATTAACTATCTTTATGCATATACAAGGGTAAAGGATATCGCACACATATATAGATGGATGAGATAAAATATATAAATAATAATATATAAATACACCACACACGCGCACACACACATATATATATTATATACACACGCGCGCGCGCATATATATATATATATATATATATATATATATATATATGTGTCTTATCTCTTATATTTATATATATATATTTTTTTTTTATATCTATAATCTTGTATATGCATACAAATATGCTTACACAGTGTGTGTCGTTGATTTGAAACGCGAGGTATATCAAATACCAAGGTGTATACACTTATACACGTACCGGTGGCATGGTATCGATAGAAACATGAAAGAATTGTAAAAATCCTATATCATTCAGTTTATCTTAAGTAAATAAGTACTTAAGTAACATTTGTGCGACTGTGATATATACCATTAAGTGTATTATGTATATTTACCGTTTATAAATTTTCGTAAAATTTTTAAAAGCAACGTGAAAAGCGATCGACGAGGGATAACCTAAGTTGACATATGTGCCATATTCGAAAAAAAGTACAGTATTAATTATAAGTACGATTCGTACGATTTCAACGACTTTAAACATTGTAGAGAAAATTATGTCTAGTCTTTTTCATTTTATTACATAAAGTTTCTTTACGACTCTTGATGAACAAATTTTTTATGTCATCTTTTATTTAGATAGCTTTGCGATTTAATGCGTTAGGTTAGGTTTGATGTAAAATGGGATGTGTGTTTATTTAATTTTTTTATCTACTATTGTAAAGTAATATATTTTGTTATCATGTAACGTTAAGCATTAATATGTATATATATGAAAAATAATATTATGTAATTATATTTAGACAACGTGAATTAACGAGATTAATAGAGATTTGCAGCGTGTCTAATAAGTCGTATACATAATCAATGAAAATTCTTTGCGTATGTAAAAACGTAAGTAAAAGATACATATAATTTTTAACATAACTTTTTATTATTTTTTAATACAGCTGTACAAGTCAATGAAAAAAGGATATTAAATTTGAAAGATAAAAAGGAATTATAAACAAGTCTACATACATGATACTAAAAAATAAATAGAAAAATTCCTCTCAACTTTAGAATCATTTTATTGCGCTACAGTTTATTTAAGTCTCTCTATTTATTGATTACACTTTAATTTATATATACTCCTAAATATTCTTTAATCTTTTTTTAGATTGCTGTATATATATATATTGCTCTACATGTGACTTGTAATAAAGGTCTGTATGTATGTGTAAAGTGTAATATATTGATATTCTTTTTATTCCAGTATAATTAAAATGGCAAGAAGCAAAACACAAGAAAAACACACAAAGATAAAAGCTAAACTTGTGAATGCAAGTTCTGCTAAGACAAGTAACAATTTACCATTATCAATGAATTCTGCAATTGGTGTTATATGTATTGCCATTGCAGTTTGGTTTGTAGCTAAAGGATATCTTGAAACAAGAGTAAATACTCCATATAATGTAGAAAAGGTATGTAAATTATTGCAAATACAATCATGATTATATAACGTATAAAATTGATTATGTTACAAGCTAATATCTCTAAAAATATAAAAGATACTTTTGATTGTTATATTATATTTTATTTTTTTATCGATATATTATTTTATCTTATTAATTAATTTTTTCGTAAATGTGGAAATTTATCAAAAACTTAATTAGAACAAGAAAAAGCATGTGAAATTTTTTTGAAATTTAAATGAAAATGAGTAGAATACACATGGAATACACATGCAATTTAAAATATTATATAAATTGAATAACTTGGGCTTGAGTAATTTTTCAAAATTTGTCTACAAAAAGTTGCCAATTGTATTATTGTTTAACAAATTACTTAATATAAGAAATTTAAAAAAATATGTTTTTTGTAACAAAAATAAAATGTAATGATCAAATGTTTATTTCTTATTCTAGTTTTAGAAATATTGGTTTATGACATGTTGAAATATATATTTTTTCTACATACAAGGTCTGTAAATAAAGTAATGAGACTTTTTCGAGATGAACTTTTATTTATAATTTAACTCTGTCTCCTTCAAAATAGTTCCCTTGGGAAGCCACACAGTGCCTGAGACGTTGTTTCCAGTCTTCATAGCAGTGCTGGAACTCAGAAATCCGAATGGCCTTCAGCTGGTCGGTTACAGCCGCTTTTACTTTTTCGTATCAAAATGATGTCCTTTGAGATGAGTTTCCAATCTCGGGAAGAGAATGAAGTCACAGGGACTCAGGTCAGGCGAATACGGGAACTGGAGAACGACAGAAATGTTTTTCCGTGCCAAAAACTCCGTAATCGAAAGCACGGAAAAACATTTCTGTCGTCTCCCCAGCTCCCGTATTCGTCTGACCTGAGACTTCTTTCTTTTCCCGAGATTGAAAACTCATCTCAAAGGACATCACTTTGATACGACCGAAAACGTAAAAGCAGCTATAATCGACCAGCTGAAGGCCATTCAGATTTCTGAGTTCCGGCACTGCTATAAGGACTATATATATAGAGATATATATATATATATATATATATATATATATATATATATATAGAGATAGATAGATAAATAGATAGGTAGATAGATAGATAGATGGATAGATGGAGTCAAATATAATTGTAAACTTACATCAACTTGAATATTGTTTGAAAATTAGCTAGTTACTACATCTGGTTTGGACATTCCGGATAGATATTGGGGCACTTATAGATCTGGTGTGTATTTTGGTTTAAAAACAAGAGATCCGCATTCTTTGGTGACTGGTTTAATGTGGTATTTTCCACGTTCTCTACGATACGACGGAAACGGATTCAGACATTGGTGTGATCAAGGTGATAAATTAAACAGGTACTGTAAGAATCTCTTTAATTTTAGTCGGATAAAAATTTTGCCGATATGGCTAATCAAAGTTTAAATGGCAGATATGCATGGCTGGAGCATGACGGACGAACGTTTGGTGTTCAAGAAATAGTAGATAATTCTGTAGTTATAAAAACAACATTTGTCAAGAGACCTGGCGGATACCATGGTGGTGACTGGACTGCAAGAATTGCAGTATTGCCAGAGAAAGAATACGATAAAGGGGAAGAAGTATCGCTGTTATTTTATACCGCTATTGAAGAAAGCACAAGAGGTTGGATAAAGGCTAATCTAGGAGATTATAATCGTTTAACGGGAATAGAGGGAAACACGAAAGGATTAGGATCCTTCATTATAAACCTGAATTTAATAAATGGTACCATAGAAGAACATTCCTTTCTCGCAACAGTCGCGTCTGGTCTAAATGTATTAAAAGAAACTGTTTTGCAAAATCTTCGCATTGCGACCGAAAAGGGATCTATGGAGAAACACGTAGTTTTAGCTGGTGAACAGCTGCTCTTATTGTCCGACGGCAAGAAAGAGGATCCAAATTTCGTAGTTACTCAAGTAACGGGAAGAGCTCCTTTCGAGATTGAAGTTAGTTACGAATCTGGCAGCTTCAGTAATAGAATAGACAAACTAACGGGGAAAAATTACGACGAGGCTCTCGAGAAGCAAAGGCAATTATTTTCGACAAAATTTGAAAGTGTTTTCAAATTAAAATCCAAAGGATATACAGACGACGAAATAACATTCGCAAAGATGGCATTCTCAAATCTCGTAGGTTCAATAGGTTATTTCTATGGGACTTCGCAAGTGCAAAGTACGTATACCCAGGAACCCGTGCCTTATTGGAAAGCACCTTTGTATACCGCTGTACCCAGCAGAAGTTTCTTCCCTCGTGGTTTTCTGTGGGACGAAGGTTTTCACGGTTTACTCATCTCAATCTGGGACACGGAAATAGAGTTGGACATTATAAGTCATTGGTTTGATCTGATGAATGTCGAAGGATGGATTCCAAGAGAAATGATTTTGGGCCAAGAGGCTCTGGCTAAAGTGCCCGAAGAATTTGTTACTCAGATCAATACAAACGCTAATCCGCCCACGTTCTTCCTAACGCTGGATTTTATACTCCAGCATAAAGAACACGAATTATTGAAACATAATTTTCAACTGCTCGACAAACTATATCCACGCTTGCAGACGTGGTTCTCGTGGTTCAATGTCACGCAAATCGGCGATTTACCCGGCACATATAGATGGCGAGGCAGAGATGAGACGACTAATAGAGAATTAAATCCCAAAACGCTTACATCCGGTCTGGATGATTACCCTAGGGCTTCGCATCCGAATGTGATCGAGCGTCATGTCGACTTGCGTTGCTGGATCGCGTTTGCTGCTCGAGTTATGGCTAAACTCGCCGAAACGCTGAACTATTCTACTAACAAATATGAAGAAACTTCTCAGTATCTATCCGATAATAACTTGTTGAACAAACTGCATTGGTCATCGAATACACAAATGTATTCCGATTACGGTTTACATACCGATAAAGTAATTTTACGGAAATCCGCATTACCACCTCACAAACAGCGATCTCATACGCAATCTTTGGAAATGTTACGCGTCGTATTGGAGGATCCGTCTTTAAAATACGTCGATACAACCTTTGGATATGTGTCGCTGTTCCCTTTCATTCTACAGATCATTGACCCTGACTCACCACAGTTGGGGAAAGTACTGCAAGATCTACGGGATCCCGATTTATTGTGGACCAAATATGGATTGCGCTCACTCGCGAAAACATCACCGCTATATATGAAATTCAATACGGAACATGACCCGCCTTACTGGCGCGGTCCTATTTGGATAAATCTCAATTATTTGACGGTACGGGCCGCGTATCATTATTCTAACGTGAAGGGTTTATATCGAGAAAACGCGAGAAAGATATATGAAGAGTTGAGAAAGAATTTGATACAAAATATTATTAAGCAATATAAAAAAACTGGATATTTGTGGGAACATTATGACGATTCCGATGGGAAAGGCAAAGGAAGTCATCCCTTTACTGGTTGGACTTCCTTGGTTGTATTACTTATGGCAGAAATATATTAAATGTTTTCTAACGCGAGTGTACGTACATACATACACATATATATTTCATTTAAATCTTATTATTAGAAACTTTTTTACAGAAAGTAGAATTTTAAAAGATGCTGTGAAATGTTTGCTTAAAATTATTAAATAGAATTTATTGATGTAACACACATACACGCATGTACATACGCGTGTACGTGCACGCACGCACACACATATACAATTATATATAATATATACACTATTTTTAATTAATTATATGTGTATATATAATTAATATATATGTACAATTTATTGTTATGTATATTATCTTTTATATTGCGTTATTTTAATAATATTTCATTTGAAAAAAAAAATTACAGAGATGCGCATAGAGCATTTATATTATATAATTGCGCATAGAGCATTTATATTATATAATTTGTAAAATGTACAATAATGTATATCTAATGTATCATTCTCTCCTTTTCCCTCTCCCTTCCTCTTCCTACAGTTTCTCCTTCTCTCCTTTTTTTTTTGATACTATTAAAAAAAATCAGAGGAAATATTTTTGTGTAAATATTCAAAATGAAAGCGAATATCTCTCTGTACATAGAAATAAGATAGTATTTAAATATAATAATTGATAATATAAATTTTTTCGATGGTACATTGTAGTTGAGTAGAATATTCTGTATGTCACATGAAAAAATAAATTTTTGATAAAATTTTTTTATTTTGATATTTGTATTGAATAAATTTAGTTTCTCTCTTGATAATACTATATGAAAACTTTGTAAAATATAAAAAATTCGTATTATGTAGATGTAACATCAATTAAGAGATAATATTCAATGCTAATTATGAAGAGAGAAAGGAATATATATTCAGTAAATCTAGGCTGTTTAACTTATTCAAGTTATCTCTGATAAAATATTTTATTATTTTATATCGTTGTAATATGTATTTTTTGAATTAATAATAAGTACACATATAATTAAACAACAAATATTTATTTTCATGATTGCGCACGTTATATTTTCATAATTCTTTCGTTAATTCTTCCATTTCTTAAATCTGCTTTTGAAATAAAAATGTATGTTTCGAATATATTCGCGCCGACGGAATTAATCCAAATACCGAAATTGGTAGAGATGGTATACGCATGAAAAGAATGTAATGTCACATTTTTCAAAAGAATAGCTGTGATTGGTCAGTGACGTTTAGTAATCTATCTCAAGTCCGTATTACGCTACAGGTTGACCAATCAGAGCGAAGCAAGTTGCCGGCCGGAAATTCTGATTAGTCAATTCCAATTCTGATTAATTATTCGAAAACGCCCTAAAACTCGATCCAATTTTCAAATAAATCTTTGCTCTTTGGCTCATTTTGCTTGCACTTTCTACGCTTTTTTCTTCCAACGTTCAAAGCATTTACACAAAATCGTCTCGTTTCAAATGCAAGCAATTTTCAGTAGCAAGAAAAGATTTCACGCATAAAACTCACATGTACAATGGCGAATTTAACAATATCTAACCTAATATCGAATAAGAATTAGCTGTAACCTAACCTAAATATGTTATCTAATTAAATTTTATTTTGTAGTTGGTACTCCTGCTCGCGACGCTCTCCTCGAAACGATTCTCACATCGCGGGACCGCTGATGACTCTCTTCAGACGTCTGCAGACGCCTTGCCCTTACCTCATTCAGTGAACAAGTGTATGCTCGTAAAATTACGATTGTGACTTTTCGAGTGAAATAAAATCGCGTGGACGTTTCTATTTTGTATTATGGAGCCGTACGACGTAATCGTCAATCAGCCGGTGGTTATCGATAACGTAAGTGCCTGCCGTTCAATTTCTCTTGCATCCATGCTATCGAGAGGGAGAGAGAGAGAGAGAGAAAGAGAAACGATGTGTCAAACTTCATTGAGCAATGTCGCTCGCCAACATCGACAAGAATATATAAATAATTTTCGCTCAAAAGAAAATACAATTTTCCTCCACTTATGTTACTGTTTGTATTTATAAAAATTCTGTTTGTATTTATATAAATTATATTGAATTTTGGTTGCAAATGCTATTGAGAATTATCGTCGATATTATCAGCGGTTCAATCGATGATGATATTAACGGGATACAGGATAAATTCTCTCTCTCTCTCCAGTTTAGAATTGAGAGTGTTATATACGCTCCTGTTTTTGTTCCGTTCAGGGATCTGGTGTGATTAAGGCGGGGTTTGCGGGCGACCAGATACCAAAATGTAGATTTCCAAATTAGTAAGTATCAAACATGAGAACATTAATTATTATAATTAATTATTATTATTTATGATGGTGTTCCTTTTCGATTGATTGATAAATAGTAAGTTGTTGTAATAATATAAAATGTACATTTTTATCCTAAGAACAAAATGTTTTTATAGCAGAAAACGATATCGATACTTGAGTATTTTAATTCATTACAAGTAAAAGTTACAATAGTAATACATTTTCAATTTGTGTAGACAATTATATACTTTATAGAATAATAATTAAATTTAGTAGAAATACATTCAATATTATTAAAATAACTTGCTATCTCTAAAGAAATTTCTTATAAATAAGAAATAATCTGTAATTTGTACTTTTTCTTAATTTATACATTAATATGATCTATCAGTTAGAATTAAAATTTAAAATTTAATGCATAATTTTTTTCTATAGTATTGGAAGGCCAAAACATGTACGTGTTATGGCTGGTGCTTTAGAGGGAGATCTATTTGTGGGTCCAATAGCTGAGGAACATCGTGGCCTTTTATCCCTTCGATATCCAATGGAACATGGCATAGTCACAGATTGGAATGATATGGAACGCATTTGGTCTTATGTCTATAGTAAAGATCAGTTGGCGACATTTAGCGAGGAGCATCCTGTCTTACTTACAGAAGCACCTTTAAATCCGAGAAAGAATCGTGAAAAGGCAGCTGAAATATTTTTTGAAACGTTTAATGTTCCAGCTTTATTTGTTTCTATGCAGGCTGTACTTAGTTTGTAAGTAATATTTTATAATAAGCAGGAAAGATAATTTAAAAGTAATTTTTTTATTATAGAAATTTATGTAATCTTGTAATTATGTAGAGTAGATTTTTGACAATCAAAAGATTTTTTTTTTACTTTTAACAATAATTACTATTAACAATAATGGTTTTTGTTATCTAGTAGTATTGATATTTTTTGTGTTAATTTTTTAAAAAATTTTTAATAAATATAACAAGAGGGAATTTATATTATATTTTTTATTATTAATTAATACAGATATGCAACAGGTAGAACCACAGGAGTGGTTTTAGATGCTGGCGATGGTGTTACACATGCTGTACCTATTTATGAAGGTTTTGCTATGCCTCACAGTATAATGCGAGTTGATATAGCAGGACGTGATGTTACAAGGCATCTTAGATTACTTTTACGCAAGGAAGGTATTAATTTCAAGACTACGGCGGAATTTGAAATTGTCAGAATAATTAAAGAACGAGCGTGCTATCTTGCTAGCAATCCACAAAAGGAAGAAACGATAGAAACGGAAAAATTTCAATATGTATTACCTGATGGTAGTCATTTGGAGGTAATAATATCAATCAAAAAAAACATTTAATTAGACAAAATGAAGTGTATTATTTCAAATGTGACTAATTCTCACCTGTAAATCATCTTTAATGTAGATTGGTCCGGCACGATTTAGGGCTCCTGAAGTGTTATTTAGACCAGACTTGATAGGTGAGGAATGTGAAGGCCTTCATGAAGTATTAACATACTCCATTCAGAAGTCCGATTTGGACTTGAGGAAAGTTTTATTCCAAAATATTGTACTCTCGGGAGGATCAACATTATTTCGCGTAAGCAGGAAAATCTTATATTTTTATTATATATATTTAAAAAGACATTCTTGTAATAATATAATAAAATTTTCTAACATTTTAGGGTTTTGGTGATAGATTATTATCAGAAATTCGCAGGATGTCCCCAAAAGACATTAAAATAAGGGTAAGAAAATAAGAAAAAAAAAAGACAAATTTCAAATAAATATAAAAAAGTGAACAATTCAGTGCATTTATAGTGTTGTATAGATTATGTATATTTCTGTTGCAACAGATATCTGCACCCCAAGAACGATTGTATAGTACTTGGATTGGTGGTTCCATTTTGGCTTCTTTAGACACTTTTAAAAAGATGTGGGTGAGTAAAAGAGAATTCGATGAAGATGGTATACGGGCTATTCATCGTAAGACATTTTGAATTTAGAGAACCTTTCGAGAATGTTATATATCGCGAATAATTTTATTATATCAATATGAAATAATGGCACACTCGGCACAATAACAAAATATATTGCGGCAAATATATTCTTAATTATTTATTTATATAATCGCGCGCGCGCGCCTGTATAATTTCTATATTATATTTCAAGGGATTATTTTTATATTTCTAATCATATTTTTGAGACCTCTAATTGAGTCTTTATTGTTGTTAAAAACTGTTGAGTTATGTTATATGAATTCATATCATATTAAATTATGGTGACAGAATTATGAAACTATATGAATTTTCCTCTTGCAAAGTATATAGAAATATATATATAAAATTTTTTTTAATAAATTGTTTTTTATACAACTACTATTTATATTTGATAATATAGATTAGTAAAATATATTCTTTTTTTGATTTGTACATTAATAAATAGCTGTAAAATTTAATTGCTATAAGGTATATTTTTTTGTGGTATAACATACTTGCAAATAATTATTTAATATATTTTATAGCAATTCATATTACTAATGCAAATAATGCTATAAAGAATAGAAAAAAATTTACATTTTTTGCAAGTATAGAAATTTGTAAAATGTATCGTTTTTGGCATTATAATTTAATATGATTGCAATGAGGAAGATAAGATCTCTAAAGGTCAGTTACATATATAAAAGCAGTTTGTAATGTCAATATCACATAATTTGGACCTATACATGGTTTCAATATATAATTAAATGTACATTAGATATTTGCAAACTGCAAGATGCAAAAAGAAATAAAAACAAGCATTAATGTCTTTTATAGAAATGTAAATAATATCTTTTGGAATCAAATGAATTAAGAGGTCAAATCTGTAAAATCTTAAATTTTCAATTTTAAAATTTATTTATATATTTGATTGTGCTCACATACACATGCATACTCACACACAATACTGTCATATATATTACAGCAGAGTACAATTTTTATTAATAAAAGTGCTATGTTTCGTCGATTTAATATAATGAAAGAAAATATTCTGTAATTTCCATGTGCAGCAACATTTATGCAAAGCATTTGTAAATATGTACGCTTTTCCTAAAATAAATCTACATAGTCTTTATAAATGCATGTGATTAAAATATAGATTTTTACAATTGTATTGTAACATCGAGATTTGTAGCTTTATATTAAGTAATTGTTTCCAACACATTTTGTATCACGTACATCATTAATAATTTTTGAAATGTATTAAATGCTGAAAGAACACAAAATATCAGTTTATTTATTATTTAAATAATTTATTTCAATTGCGATAAAGGAAAGAATAATTTATAGACGTTGGTTAGAAAATTTATTAATTTTTTCATCATTGCACAAGGAAACAAGATTATATTGAAAATTGATACGTAGTAATACAATTATAGATCAGATTCAATTATATAATTATTTGTTGTATTTATTTATTATATGTAATGTATATTGTCCGCACTAGTCTGTGAAAAGGAATCTCGCGAGCAAAATATTTGCTTGTTGACAATTATTATATATTTTAATATATCGTATATAACGAAAAATAAAATATGAAATGCTGCAATGCAGAAATGCAAATGTTTAGAAAATGTGTTTCAATATTTTATTTAAAGAAAAATCCGCAAGAGATATCTATATTAAAACTAATGTAACAAGAGTGTTTGTACCATTTTTAATTATTTAACAAATGTATTTTTATTTAAATAAGCAATTGTGTACGGTTTAGAAAATATACGTAAAATACGTCACTAAATCTCGTGTAATCACAATATAATCTTGATTTTATAATTTCTTTGTGGTTTTAAGACTACGAAAATATTTAAAAATATTTAATGTATTTTACCAATTATATAATATATTATTAAAACAATGATGTTGGAATGCAATATGAAACGCGTTTAAAATAACTGGATTCTGGAATATGGATTAAAATTCAAAATTTCGTTCAAATTGTAGGGTGTATTGATCGATTGATCAAAACATTTTTGTAACTCTAGAAATTCTCTATCCGATAGCCAATGAGTATGTGCGTGCGAAATATCGAAATTGTTATACAAATGCGTCATCAGTCGGGAATAGATAAAGCATGAAGCTCGAGAATTGGACGGTAATCATTTCGCTATCTTTTATTTCTTTATAGAAAAAATGAAAAGTGAAAAATTTCGTTAAAAAAGATAATAAACGTTCTAGCTGTGTCTAGTTATTTATACGTTATGACCGATTTTCATGGTCGGTTCATACATTTAAGACTATTTTAATGTAAACATTTTCATGTGTATGTTTATATATAAATAGAGAGCTATATTTAAAAATTGGAAAGAAAAGAGCAAAAAGAATAACTTGTATTAGCCTGAGAAGAACATGTAAAAGGAAAGAAAAGTCAATGGTAATACCTTCCTCGTAAAAATCACAATAGTTTTGCCAATTCTTTTGTATATAATAATGTAAGCATGGGAGAAAGCTCGGCTTCTACGTATGAATGAATATTTATTTCCTTTTTTTGCGTGACGGTTGATTTACAACGCGCGATTACTTTTGACAGCTCGATTTCGCGACGCGCGCCCTCTATCGGTGGCGAGAACGCGACCTTTCGGGCGGAGTCGGGCGCGCCTTCGGTGACGGCGACTGACGTCATGGCGCAAGATGGCCGCCGGTATCGGGAATGGTGTAGCGTAGACGAGGCTGGGCGGTAGAAACGAGTTCCCGGGGAATAGGTGTGTCGGTGTTTCGGCGTCGCGTGCTAGATAACACGCCGTCGGGATGATGCCCAGCCGCGTCGTTGTCGTCGTCGTCGTCGTCGCCGCCGCCGCGACGGGCTGAGTTCGGAGTTTCGGCGCCGCTCGCCCGTTCGCTCGCTCGCTCGCTCGCCCGTCGCCCGCTCGCCCGTTCGTCGGTTCGCCAGCGAGCTAGCTCGCCAGCTCGTCGGTGCAGTGCTCCTCGTACGAATCGTACGTGCGAATAGGTGCCGCGTTTCGTCTCCCTCTCTCTTTCCTTCTTTTTTTATTCTCTCTCTCTCTTTCTCTCTCTTCTCTCTCTCTCTCTCTCCCCCTCTGCCTTTGCTCTTTCTCTTTCTCTCTCTCGTCGCTACTGGGAATATAGGTAATCAAACGTGTCACGCAAGATTTTTCCTCTTTGTACAGGAGTCGAGAGGACTCTCGACTCTCTTCCGCGAATCTCCTTTACCGTGTATTTTTTTCGGGAGAAGGACGGTCCTCTCGCAAAGTCGGGCGATTAAAAATGGAAACGAGAGCCAAGAGTGAAAATCGGAGCACAGATTGACGTTTGCCGAGAGAGATCTGAGAGAGAGAGAGGTGGCGCCGGCTTTCTCGCGAGCGATAACCACGCTCCGTCCCGAGCTCCACGAGTCCCGGCCCCGGCTACCGAAAGCCCGATCGAAAATTGCGATATTACTTGTGAGCGTCTCCCTTTCTTTACTCTTCTCTCTTTCTCTCTTCCGTCGTGTTTCGTGGAATTGCCCGGGACATACACCTCGATATTAATTTCAATATTGCTCTCCAGCCCACTGTATTGTGCTATCGCCGTTATTAAATCATCATCGTATCACGAGCAACCTACTACTATTATGGTGATTATTATACTCACGTAATAAAGAACGGATTGATTTGGCAAAATGGCATTTCGGAGCATCGAAATACGAGCGAATCGAGCGGAAAAGGGAGAGTGACAGAAGTATCGTGTCACAGAAAGAACAATTTTAAAAGAAGAGGACCAAAGACAGAGAAGAAGGAAGCTGGAGAATGCTCTTAGAAATTTGCGAAAACAAGATTAAACCGATTGTGAGACACACACACACACACACAGTTCAATGTCTTGTGAAACGAGAGATTTCATTGAAAGCGAATCGATCGCGAGAGTAAATTTGCGCCTCGAGATTTATTTACAAGAATAAGAGCAACGATGAAAATGCAGACATGAAAAAAATTGTTGGACGATCCAGACGATTGATTCCTTTTTGAAAGATGAGCGAAGACTTTGACCTATTTATCGTGCCGCGAATCGAGAACTCGCAAATTCAAATAAAGAGATGTATCGATTTTGCTAAATTTGACATAGACACAAATTTGCACATCGCAAGGTGTCATTGTGCGTCACAATCTGAAAAAATTACGAGTGTCATTGTATCTCTGAAACCAGAGCGAAGCGAAAGAGAAGAATATATTCAAAGAGCAAAACTTGTACATTTCTTCAAATGCTGAATAGCCACTAAGAGAGAAAGGGAGAAAAAAAGAAAGGACTGATAAGATAAACGATAATCTTTGAATTTGACTGATTGCGCGCGCTCTCTTTTTTTTCCTGCGTGACTGAGAGTCGCAAGATTTAATGTAACATTTGTAATCGAGTCGAGATTCACCCGCGGTCAAAGAAGAGAAGGTGCGCGTCATCGGTGAAGCAAATGCACCGCGATCACGCGGATGTCATTGGAGTCGTAAGGAATAAACGCACGCGAGGAGAGAAAGCTTCTTCTTCAATTCACTGACACTGAGCAATTTCACTTTTTGCCCATGCTACTAGATGGTCTTCAGAGTATTTGACATTCCAAAGGAAGGGAATGGAGTGAATAATTTCAGCAGAGGATTCTCTCAACAATTCAAAAATGTTATAAGATGGAGGGGAGTCCGATGCTTTACGTAGAGAGCGCAATAATTGCGTTCGAGGATCGCTCAAGAGTGGGCAGGACCACAGGACAAGGTTGATATATCCTAGAGGTGAGCCACAAGGGCAGTCAGGACGTCCAACGATGCTGCGAAGGCTGTAATTTAAATTATAATAATTAGAGCTGATTCTACAGACTCACGATTTCTGAACGGCTCAGCTTAAGTTTTGCGAAGCCGGAGCTTCTTGCGAAGGTGGGATAAAGGTTGAAATACCGCATGCCACGGTTTTCGGCTAAAGCAAGCAAAGAGGAGAGAAAGCGTGTAGAGCGATCGAGTAATTGATCGGGCGGAGAGCTAGAATGCGACGAGAGGCAAACACGAGGGCGAGAGAAAGAGGAGAAGGAAGCGAAGGGAGGGGAAAGCGCGAGAGAACGAGATAAGCGCGATCGGGAATAACGAGATATCGGTTCGGGTCCAGAGGAGCGCGCGCACGAGAGGAATTCCTGCCGATTTCCGCTTCCTCACCTTGCCTCGTATCTCTGCGTGTGTGTGTGTGTGAGTGTGCGAGCGTGCGAGTGTGCGCGTGTGCGGCGTGTCATTCTTTCGCGTACATGTCACGCGGCATCTCGCGTAGCGTTGTACAGCACGTGCGCGCGCTGTATGTGCGTGTGCGTGCGTGTGCGTGTGCGCGCGATGTGTGCGTCACCGACGATGATCTCGTAGATCCGATGCGGGTGCGGGAATAACGAGAGAGAGAAAAAAAAAGTAGAATCTTGACGAGAATAACGAGCACGACGTACAACTCGCAAAATGTGGAATATGATGTGCGACGTGATGCCGACGATCGCGGAGGACAGCATGAGCCAGCGGAGCTCGCAATTCTCCAACGAAGAGGGAAACTTTGAGCAGTTGATGGTGCAAATGCTGGACGAGCGTGATAAGATGATGGAGACGATGCGCGAGCATCAGGAACGACTGCAAGACACGGAGACGCGGCTGGCGGAGGTCGAGAAGGAACGAGACGCTCTCAATCGACAGCTTAACGCGAATATTCCTCAGGTAAGTTAATCCTCTCTCTCTTTTTTTCTTTTTTTTACCTCCATCAAGTCAAATATTCGTATAAACAATTATCAAAATCTAACGTAAATGAAAGAAACGATTCTTTGAAAATCGTGAAATAAAAAGGTAAAAAGTGCCAACTAGAAATGAATATATTAATATAACGTGTTATTCGCGAGCATGCTTGATGCTAATTATCGTCCTGCGATTACGGTCGCGGAATTTCATAACATGTTAAATAGGCGTCAACAGTTTGAAACGATGTGGAATTGCTCGTTGAACGATCGAAATCGATGAATCGCAATGAAACTTTAGACGGGTCCGACACTATAACGATGCAATGTTCAATTTGCGAGAGTCTCCCAAAGACTGCTTTTAATTGCGTACGCGAGCCATCGTCGACTGGCGAACGCTTCTCGTAAACGCTTACGTAACGTTGTAACGTTGTAAAAGTGATTTAACGCAAACTGTACTCACGCGCGCGCGTATCGCCTTTGTATTTGTCCCACTTTTCGCGAGATATGCACGTTCCTAACATCGTAATTAACTTCTTGTTTAATGCGTTTTACTTTACCATTTAAACGCTCATTCGTACTCCTGTTTCTCTAAAACAAGCATACATATTTCTCATTTCAATTAATTTTTTTTCGAAACAAGAAATTTTTTTCTTCCTCGCGCGTTAAAGAAACATCCAAGATGCATCGAATCTTTTCGCCGATAGGCCTAATGTGACGATAAAAAATATCGCTCCTTTTGACTGATCGACGATTGAAAATTTATCAATTTTCTCCCCAATAAAGTTTCAGCTATTCAAATAAATGTCTGACAAAGCTCCCTTTATTCTTCGTTAATTTAACGTTTTTTTTTAAAATTAATTTCCTTAGTTTAACAAAACACACATACGCGTACACATACCTGTATATATATATATATATATATATTAAAATGTGTCCTTTAATAGTAGCTGATATAATGTTTGTGTATTCAATAATATTAACGTTTCTTTAAAAATTAATTTCGTTAGTTTAACAAAACACACATATCTGTATATATATTTTAAAATGTGCCCTTCAACAGTAGCTGATACAATGTCTGTGTATTCAATAACATTAATATTCTTTTTTCTGTAATACTTGAGAAATATACCTTTTTGTTTGCGTTGCATGATTCAGTTGCTTCATGCTCGCAAATGAAAAGAATCGATCATCTTTGACGCGCGCACATTGGATATAGATACGTATCATCGTAATGGACATTGATAGTAATAGATAATGCATGCGGTGCGGTAACAAAATTAGCGTCAAAAGAGAAATGAACTGCAATTTCGAATATATATGGACATAATTTTATGTCGATCACTCTTTGCGTTTAATTACCCGCAAAAACTTTTCCCTCTAGACTTTTATATTTTTATTGAAATATTTTATTTTTTCAAGCACTCTATATATTACTTTTTACAATTAATTAGGCTTAATATATTAGCTCTAATCTGATCATTCTTCGAGTTGAGTGAGAGATTCTTTTAAATGTACCAGTGTATAACTATGCTATAGCGGAAAGTATACCATATATAAATATTTATAATTGATGAAAAATCGAGGTATATTTTATATTTTTTTAAGAATAAATTGCGGCATGTTTCTTGCAAAGAAAACAACGTGTACAATGTGTACAATGTATATATTTGTCGCGCCTTTTTTCATTTGCAATTCAAGTCTCTTGTCATCTAGGAAGTTGCTCGATGACACACGATACGATATGACGATATGTACTTTTTTACATGCCTCGTAGCCTGGAGGAAACGATGGTTGCAAAATCTTATAGACGCATCATAGCATTACTTCGAAACGGCTACTTTTGTGAATATAATAAAATAAAAATTCTCCCATTTTCACGGAATTTTATTTTTTACTTTTTACATGTATATACATGTTACTCGTGTAAATGTGAAAATGATTGAATAGATGAAGATAGCGCGATTTTGTCGCAGTCTCTTTCAATTTAACGTTATTCATATATAATCGAGAAAAAATGGATGTTTTTGGAGATAATAAATTTCTTAGCGTGGCGACATTAAAAAATTACCTGGGGCTATAATTCACGATTGAATTGTATACAAAAGTCTCTGTTATCTTTCTATTAAATTCAAATTAATTCAAAATTTTGTTGAAACAAAAATTTCATTTTTAAAGTTCTTAATTTAAATTATATTATATTAAATTAAAAATATTAATTCTTTTTTTAACTTTTTTATTCATTAGTATTATATGTATATAATGTAATATTTTTTTTAAAGATAGAGATTGTAGAACAATAATTAGACTTGATCGTTAGCGTAATGTTTTGCCAACTATTTTTTATGTATTTTAGTTTCTTAACACAAAACATGCATTTTTTATTTTGTTAAATGACACGCATTTTATGTAATTATACTTGTAATAAATATTAATTATATCATGAAAAGTGAATTGCTTTCACAATGTGAAATGTGCGCGCACAAGAGAGAGAGAGAGAGATTGCTAAATTAAACTTTATAAAACTGTTTTAAATCGAAAATTTTATTTTTAATCACTTAATCACATTTACATTTATATTTTAAAAGGAGAAAAATTGTATATTTAAAATATTTAAGGAATGTGAGAGGGGGAGAGAGAGAGAATGAGAATATATACGTATAATGTGTACATATACAGTTGTGTATGTATGTAGTTCTTGTATATACATATATTTCATACAGAATATGTTTTCTAAATATAGATTTGAAACAGTTTGGAAAAATGAACTTTTCGATTATACGAGGATGTGTGTAATTAGTTAAGCTAGTCTTTTCCTGCTTTTCTGCAAATAAGATAACTTTTGTTGCAGAATTTAATGTTGAGCTGTCAAAATAATAACTATTTATATTTTTCGGTAAATTTTTTTTATTCTTCGCAGGTCTCTCTCTTAAGCCAGAAAGAATTTAATTATTTTAAAAGTTTTTACGTCTCTCATATAAATTTGACAAATTTCTTATGTCATTAAGTATTTTTAAATAATTTTGTAATTTGTATTGAAATATAATTTGTGTTGTAATGTGTGAAAAAAATTTTTTTCGCGGAAAACTGATTGCTTCATGAAGAATTAATTAAATTAATAAGTGAGAAAAAACAAAAGAGGAAATTATTAATAACTATATTTTTTTTAATTTTCGGATAATTTTTTTTATTAATTTATGAAATATTGCATAAACGATTGTACACATCAATTTTTAATAATAATAATTTTAATAGTTATTCTAATTTTAATAATTAAATAATAATTAAATTTCATAATTAATGAACTGATCAGTTTTTATTAATTAATGAATCTTTATTAATTATTGACTAATAACATTTTGTTCGATTAATATATCTATATATATATAGGAGGAATATTCCAATACAATGTCAAGAATGTTGATCATGTGCTTAATTAGTGAAATATCTCGAACTTTCATCATAATTAGGATACGCGTTTACACATAGTTCAATTAATCGATTATATATATCTTACTTATATCTTACCTATATTACCATTTATGTATTTGTATGTGTATAAACATATATTTATTTATATTTGTATTTATATTTAACCCTTATAAGCACTTTTACGTATAGATACTTGTTGAAAGTATATAACATTCATAAAGGGAGAAGAATAATTCTTGTTAAATTACATTTAAGTGTCAAATGTAAGACAATACAAATACAAATAATTTAAGCCTGATTAATGAATATATTATATCTTTAAGCGTATACAAAGTCGTAACACACTATTATGATTTTAATATATTCTTTGAACCATTTTACTTGACAAAAATTCCTAAGCATTAATATAGTTTTCGAATTATAAACTATTTAAGAGAAAAGTTACTGAATTAAATTTTGTGACAACTAATAAAATCACATTCCTCCGTCATTTTTTAAATAGACTTTAATGAAATTTTTAATTTAGTAAAATTAAATTTTTTAAAAATTATTTAAAGGTAACTACACACATACATGCATACATAGATATAACATAATAAAAGATATAATATGTATATATGTATATATATATATATATATATTTATATTTATATATCGTAATATGTACATATATATGTTAATTTCTTCTTAGCGAAAATGTCTAATAACTTTGTTTAAGAGAAAAGAAGTTAATTCTCTCTTTTTCTAAATTTCCTACATACATACACATATTTATATGAATAATATATGAATATATTATATCAACTGATATCAATAAATATGTATATATACTTGCATCATACTTGAACAAAAATAATTAGCGTCGATTGCGTGATTGTTTTATGAATGTATCATAAACAATACGAGATATATACAAGAATAACAAAATATGCTACACAACATACATACAACATACATAACAAAAATCGTATTGATTCTTTCGTAGACCTGTTGCATGTTCTCCATCGTTCAAACAGCAACGAGTTTTAAAGGATTTGAACAATTAGCATGTCTCTACTTATCATTAACATATCGATACTGAAGAGTTTAGAACCTGATAATTAAGTAAAGAATAAGGGAAGCTAAACAAACTGAAAAAAGGATGAGACTGAAAGAAGAATTTTTTATGAATCTCTTATTGTTCCCATCTATTGTATTAATATGTTGCAAGTATTAGATAGCATACATAATAGACACAATAAACTGTCTCTGATATTACAGAAGAATTCAAGACTTTCAATGAATTTTTTTTCGTTGCAGTTTTTTTTCTAAAATTGATTTTTTCGACAAAATTCTTTGAGATATCTATAATTTTCAGGCAATTAATGCTTAAAAAGTTTTTAGCAAACTTTAAAGAAGAAACTCGATAATGAAATTATATTATTGAATTCAATTTTATATAAATTGACATTGTTTTAATAAAATTTTAATTTAAAGCTTTTTATACATCATTTATAAAATTGAAAATATTAATGATTTTCCTTCATTATTTCACTAAAGAAAAATTTCCAAATT